GGCTCAGTTGTGACATTCAGAGCCTGTCTAGAGGCTCCTTCCTGTTGTCATCGGATCAGCATGCAGGTTTTCCAATTTTGCCATCAAGGACCCATGTGTGTTTGCCAACCCTTTTGCAGCCAATAAACAAGTTGTGACCTTTGATATCCCAACCTGCATGTGTTCTGCGTCCTGTGTTCAGGTCAAAGGATTGCACACACAACTATCTACTGTATTTACAAGGGTAAAACAATGTGCTAATTTAGGTTTTGAACCTTTTAATGTGCATGTGCTCCAGTCAGATCTGTCAGTACAAACACGTGCTATTATTTTATTACTATTATTATTATTATTATTATTATTATTATTATTATTATTATTTAAACTTATATGCCGCCACTCCCCTGGGGCTCGGAGCGGCTTACAAGAATAGCTAAAATCTAACAAAGTTTAAAAGCAATTTAAAACAATTTAAAAACAACAGTATCAAACATTAAAAGCCTGTCGGAACAAGTATGTCTTACATGCCCTGCGGAAAGCTGGTAAGTCCCGCAGGGCACGAACTTCAGGTGGCAGAGCATTCCAGACTGATGGCGCCACTGCTGTGAAGGCTCTGCGTCTGGTTGCCGTTAGACGCAAGGTCTTGACACTGGGGACTTCCAATAGATCTTGGTCCTCAGAACGGAGGGATCTCTGGGGTTGGTAGGGGGTGAGACGATCCCTCAGATACATTGGCCCCAGACCATGCAAGGCCTTAAAGGTGAGTACCATCACTTTGAAAGTGATCCGGTGCTCAATTGGTAACCAATGCAGCTGTAGTAAGATTGGTGTTATGTGGCATCTCATCGGAATTCTCGTAAGAAGCCGAGCAGCTGTGTTTTGTACCAACTCAAGCTTCCGAATCACCGACAGAGGGAGGCCAATGTAGAGGGCGTTACAGTAGTCCAGTCTTGAGATGACCGTGGCCTGGATCACCGTAGCTAGGTCGTCCCTGGACAGGTAGGGGGCCAGCCGTCTAGCCTGCCGCAGGTGAAAGAAGGCGGTTCTGCTCACGGCGGAGACCTGGGCCTCCATTGTCAGCAGAGGGTCCAAAAGGACTCCCAGACTCTTTACCAATGATGACGGGCGTAACGCCTCGCCATCCAGGGTGGGCAGATGGATGTCCCCACTGCCCGGTCCACCCAGCCATAGGATCTCCATCTTTGCTGGATTCACCCTCAACCTGCTGGCACGCAGCCATCCAGTAACGGCCTCGAGGCACTGATGGAAACAATCGGGTACAGAGTCCGGTCGGCCTTCCATCTTCAGCACCAGCTGAGTGTCATCGGCATACTGATAACACTCAAGCCAAAACCTCGAACCAGCTGAGCAAGTGGTCGCATATAGATGTTAAATAACAGAGGGGAGAGAATGGCCCCCTGAGGAACCCCACAAGATAGAGGGGACCTCTCAGAGACCAGGCCTCCCCTCTCCACTCGCTGTCCACGGTTGTGAAGAAAGGAGGACAGCCAGTTTAAAGCTGTCCCCTGATTCCAGCAACAGCAAGGCGGTGGGTCAAGAGATTGTGGTCGACTGTGTCAAATGCTGCTGTGAGATCCAATAGCACGAGCAGCGCTGACCCGCCCTGGTCAAGCTGGCATCGAAGGTGATCCGTGATGGAGACCAGCACAGTCTCTGTCCCGTGCCCTTCCAGATTGGAAGGGATCTAGTCCGGCTGTGTTGTCTAGGAATTGCTGCAACTGCTCCGCTGCTGCCCTCTCAATCACCTTGCCCAGGAACGAGAGATTTGAAACTGGGCGGTAACTGGAGGGAACCGAGGGATCTAAATCTGGTTTCTTCAGCAAAGGAGAGACCACCGCCTCTTTTAAAACCTCTGGAAAGACTCCTTGCTCAAGGGAGCTGTTTATGATCTTCAACAGAGGGTCACGTAATCCCTCCAAGCAGGATTTCACCAACCAAGAGGGACACGGATCGAGGGAGCAAGTGGTCGGTCTAGCTGCAGCTATGAGCCTATCGACAGCCCCTGCATCCAGCGGGATGAACCGGTCGAGGATGGGCCCAGCAAGTGGCCACGGGGTCTCAAGTTCTCTCACTGTATCAATTGTGGCAGGGAGGTCCCGGCGAAGTAGCGAGATCTTGTCTGCAAAATAGCTCTGAAAAACCTCGGCTGGAGGGGCCTGATTACCACTTTTTGGGACGGTAGGAACCGTCGTTAGAGATCGAATTATTTTGAACAATTTTGCCGGGCGTGAGCTAGCAGACGTTATCAAAGAAGCATAATATACTCGCTTTGCCTCAGTGATAGCATGCTCATAGGATTCCCTGAATGCCTCATAAGCTGATCTCGATGCTCTGTCACGGAGTTCTCACCACACGCCCTCCAGCTGTCTCTTTTCCCGCTTCATCAGTCGAAGTTCCTCGGTGAACCAAGGAGACCTATTTTGGCGGGGTCTGAGAGGGCGTCTAGGGGTGATCTCGTCGAGTGCATTGGATAGCCTGATGTTCCATGTGTCCACCTGCACATCGATCGAGTCGCTGGCAGGCTCCAGATCCCTCAGAGCATTCCGGAACCTACTGGGTTCCATAAGTCTCCTTGGGCGAGCCCAAATTGGCTCGGCGCCCTGGCAGCGTGGGTAGGCATGCTCCAACCGGACTCTCAGGGCGCAGTGATCCGACCATGGAACCTCTATTGTGGAGGCTTGGGTCACTTGAATTCCTGCGCTGAAAATCAAATCTAACGTGTGCCCCGCTCGATGCGTGGGCCCAGTAGTACAGAGGGAGAGTCCTAGTGTCTCCTAGAGTCCTAGGTCCACAGCCGCTAATGAACAAGAGTCAGCATCAGCGTGGATAGTGAAATCCCCCAAGACGATAAGTCTGGGGAACCTCAGGGACCACTCCGACACAGTCTCAAGCAGCTGGGATAGGCTGTCCGCTGGTGCGCTGGGCGCACGGTACACCAGCAGAAAGGCTATGCTCTCACAGGAATCCCACACCAGGCCAACACTTTCAATGCCAGAGATGCTCAGCACAGGAACTGCCCTAAGAGAAAAACTTTCTCGGGCGAGCATAGCCACCCCCCCCGCCTCCCAGTCCGCATCTGGTGAGTGATTGCATAACCTGGAGATGTTATTTCCTGGAGTAGGATCTCATCCCCCTCTTGGATCCAAGTTTCTGTAATACACACTAGGTCAGCTCCCTGATCATTAAGAAAGTCCCTGATGGTAGCAGTTTTGTTCCTTATGGACCTAGCATTCACTAACACCAGAGTAGGAGGGGAGGAAACTGGTTGCCTGTCACAGATGTACCTGGGGATAGGCCGCAGGTTAGAGGGGGGCCGAGTCTCCCGCCGACTCAACCTCCCTCTAGTATTCGGCCTGCGCCTACCGTCGTACCTCCCCCTCCCAGAGATCGTAGGAATCCCCATGCATAGACCTACTTCTCTTGGAGGCTCTGCAGCACAGATTAGGTGCCCAGTGTTTGACTGGCCATCTGAAAAGGGGATGGGGCATGGCCAATTAACAAGTGGTCATAGGTGGGGCCCTCAGAGTGGTGAGGAGCAGGTGTAAAGGCCAAAGCACCCGGCCAGCATTGTGGGTGGGGGGATAATCTAGAAGATGTCGGATCCAGATTCCCTTGAGAGTGCTGGAATGGGTTCTTAACTCCCGTAGACTGGGAAGACACTCTCTCTTTTATGCCCACAGTTCTTATATTTGAGTCCCAGGCTCTGGTTTCTTGGGGGTGTACTCTCTCCTCCATATTTACAGATCTGGAGCCACCTGGGGGAGCGTGGGCCAATTTGTGGGAGGGGGCAGTAGCTGTAGATCTTGTCCGGTTGCCAAATCCCACTCCCCAGAAGATTCTAGTTTTAAATTTCTTTTGATGACAGCCACGTCTCTGGGACCTACGTTTCAGAGGTCTGCCAGTTCCTATCGCTGTACATCTGTCCATATCTGGGGCTTCCGGCCCTCCAGAGGCCACCGTCAGTCTGTCCTGGCCTGCAGTCAATCCAGCACTCTGCAAAGCGCCAGAAGCTCCCTCCGCCAGCAAAATAGTTTGCTCTGGCCTTTCAGTTGCTGCTGTTTTTAAATAGTTTTTTTTAAAAAAAATAGTTGCTGATTTTACTAAATTTTCTGGCATTCTAGCTACAATATTGTGGTATGATCTGGTATGGGAGGAGGTACATGGATTTATGCTAAAACAATAAGGTTTTGGAAACTATCTTTAGAGAATCAGTGTGATATATTGGTTTGAACATTGGGTTATGACTGTAGAGACCAGGGTTCAATTCCCTGCTTGGCCATGGAAACCCAATGGCTGACTTTCCATGAGTCAGACAATCTCATCCCCAGAAAAGCCGTTAGGGTCACCATATGCTGGAAATGACTTAAGTGCACACAACAACAATAACAACAACAACACAGCTTTTAAAAAGAAACAATGCTCATCCATGTCTCCAGAGCCAATAGCAAGCAATTTTGTAGAATTATGAAAACCGAATATATGTTGGTCATATTGCCTGCCTAGTTGCCTTCAACCTTTCCATGCTGGAGATGCCTTTGTAGACTGAAAATACTTTTCAAGGATGTCCCAAAGAATCAGAAATTAAGCTTTCTGTAGTGAGTTATCTCATTAAAAATAATTTGGAAAGGCCCATACTTTGTTGCAACCACCATCTACCCTAGAAAAGAGCTGGTGAGAATTGCAGGGGAGACATCAAAGGGAATAGATGGAGAAAACAATACAGTAAATAAAAAGATGTAAATCAAAGTACATGCCAAGATGATTCTTTTCCCTGATGAAGTTTCTTCAATGCATGCTAAAATCAGAGATCTGCTTGAGCCAATGCTCAACCTTAAAACTTATTGTGAAAGAGAATATATGAAACATGTTAAATACCAAATATTGCCTATGAGCCTGTACAGAGTGCAGTCATTATACTAGGCCGCTATACGGATACATAGGAAGAGTCTTGAATTCAAGACCATATGTGTTTCAGAAAGTCTTGCAAATAACGAAGCACCTTTTTATGGCTTTCATATGGGTTTATTATTTATTCAGTACATTTACATAACATCTTTATTCCATCTTGGAACTCAACACAGTGTACATAGGATTCTTAAGTGTCTCCAATTCAGGCACTGAACACATACATCTGATTCTCTTCAGCAAGGAGGCTCCACCATGTGCTATAAGACCATGCTCAGGGAACAACTGAGATTTTGTTTTATTATCTCAATCAAATGTAACAAAAAATAAGCATTCCCTTAAAAATACAATTTAAGAGAAACAATTTTAATCTTACTGATTTCTACATGGACTTTTATTACTGATTAAAAACATGGATAGAGATGAGTAGATAGTGTATGGGGAAACATAGGTATGATGAAAGCATCACTGATGTAGCTAGGTACCTACAAACCTATTTCTGAGGCATTAGAAAAGGAAGGAACTGGCAAAACTTGAGTATTTCTTGGCTAAGAAAACCATATGAAATGTATGAAGTCACAAGTAGATTGGTGACATGAAGGCACACACAGCCACGTAAACAGTGGGTCAGTATGTGATTATGCCTCGTTCTCTCCTGGCCACAAGGTATTTTGTGAGAGGCAGTTGTGAGAAGATCCAGCTGCAGTGCTTCACTGGCAAAAAAGAGTTAGTAGTATATTTGCATATTGCTCCACTCTCTAGTGCCATGGAAATCCTGTTGACATGGCTGCACGCCCGAGAAGGTAATTTTTGGGGAGAATGTTTAGCTTTTCCATGGTGCAATGGAAATAAATGTCTACTGAAAAAATTACAATGTAAATTTTTATTTGGCGATATCTAGCATTGAAAAAAGACAGCAAAACAGGATGTACGACACGACCGAGGTGCAAAAAGGTCTGCGTTGTGTGGAAGTACTTGTTGCACAAATTGAAGTACTTCTTCAAAAAGCACAGTTAATTTGTGGAATTAGATATAGCTATGGTTACCAATGGAAGTGAGTTTAAAACAACACTGAATAAAGTAATGAAGCATGAAGGGTGGGACAATTATATGGCTGACAGTTATGTTGGATCTGGCCCCAGAACTGGATCTGGTTGGACACATCTATTCTCCCTCTCCAGAGCCAGGCCTCCAGTTTGGGGCAATTGAGCTTTCTGCTCCATCATCTTTATACTAGACCTTATCTATCATTTTAGAAACAGCAAAAATACCCTTTAATTAAATAAATATAAAAATAAAACATATTCCCAAGCATTTTTCTGAAAGAATGACAATTGTAATAAACCCTGAGTCTCTGTATGGCACTGATGTAGTCACTGTTGACAGCATTTTAAGACATACCTTTCTATCTTTTTGTATGTCAGTTTCTCAGTAGCAGTATTCTTCCAAAGATCAAATTTTCACATTATAATCAAGTACTAACTTCTTCAGGTTTCTTTTAGGCATTGATGTTGATTCTATCTATCTATATTAAGGCAGCAAAATTTAAATTAAAAGTCTACAACAAAATGTACCCCAAAGAAATTATACTGAGGAGCCTATCTTCTTCAGGAGCTGTATCTCTTCTCTAATTTGTGGACCACATGAAAAGCTTCTAAAAATTCATTAAAGTCAATGCTACCATCTTTGTTGAAATCTATGCAACGGGCTAAGCTGTCAATGGATTCATCATCTATAGCAATTTTCAGGTGTAGGTTAAAGAGCTTCCATGCCTGGTGGAACTCGTCAATGGAGATAAGACCTAAACGGAAATAATTTTTTTTTGCATTTAATGTCACATATGCAATATTACTATATGAGAACAATCAGGAGATTTAAATGTTAAATGAAAAAAACCCCTGCAGTGGAATTTGAATAAGACAGCATCCTATAACAGGTCATGGAAGTGCATTTGGGATGGGTGGCCACTTCACTGATGCCCAAAGTAGAGATAAGAAGGTGAATGATTCCTCCAGATATTTTGGATTACAACCCACAGGTTGGCTGGAAAATCTGGATAGGACATAGATTTCCAAACTAGAGCCCTAGATAACAAGAACAGAGGACCTTATCTGTGCCTTTATGGGCAGTCTTGCAGACATAAAACCATTACATCTTTGACTGTGATGTCACAATTTAAAAAGCCCTGTGAATTTGAGGATGGAGATATGGAAAAGGATGATGAGCAAGACTATCCTTAAATAACAAGGGAAGTGCAAGGGAAGTGCAAGCTTCCTGGAACAGAGGTGTCTGTTCCAGGAAGCTTCACATAATCCAGTTTTTTCATAATCTGGAGTCCTATTTTTCTGACTTAAAATCAACAATATCTTGAGGCCTCTGCTGAAGCACAGCATAGAAACACTCTGGAGGACCTATAGAAGTGTTCTCTCTAACTCTCCAGGACAATGCTCTAGAGGCCTAGAGTGAACACTATTCAAAGCTCTTCACATATAAGGGAAACTGTGTTCAATGAGCTCACATAATAAGCAGAACTACTATACGACTATATCTAAAAGAAAGTGAGATCCATGCAGTGAAGGCCACAGCCATTCTGAGCTATGCAAAGCAGTTTCTTCCAGATCTTGGCAAACCCACGCCCTATATGCAGCAACATCAAGTTTCCCAGCAAACATTCTTTGGTTGTTACTGCCACCCCCTATCATTGCATCTGGTGAAGGAGATAAGTAGAAGAAAATCCTTAAGATGCTCCACAAAACACCAAGAACTACAGCTATGGATTAAGATTGTCATTTGGATGTGCCTTAAAATATTAAATCAGGGTCCAAAACAAATATTTTTATACAGTAAGATTGGAGACGGAGATAGCTGGTTGTGAAAATATTATGAAAGCGTTATGGTCCATGTAACATTTCTTCAGATCTTAATGTGAAGTATGAATAGAAGATATTGGAACTACTATAACAAAACCTATGATTTGAAAAACTAGGATTTTGAAACACTTGAAGGACTTTTTCCATCTAGATTACTCTTTATTTCTAAATTTCTGATTTTTGTTTAGAGGAACTTTGCTTCAGAGAAAAACTAACTGCTGAAGCCTCTTTTATACCTGCTTGCAATAATTTGATTTTTAATATTGATATCACAACATTTTTCAAAATATCAATGATTTTTATATGTATACCACTAATAACTTTATATAAATGAAAGAGATACATAAGAGCACGAATCATCACAATCATAATGCTGTAACCAATGATCAAATAGTTTTAATTATGTATTTTTAATAAGTGCCATATTTAATTCTATTTGAATGTTTATATACTTTAGGTTTTAATTTTATATTGTGCAATTTTAATTGTTAGCCAATTTTAATCTACTTGAGAGAGAGAAAGCAGGATAAATATTACAAATAAATAAAATCAAAAACTGCTAATCCAATGATATTAAATAGAGCCCATTTGTCTAAACATTAGGGCTGGGCGGTTTCGTTCGTTAATTTTGTATATCGTTTTTTTCCCGTTAATTTCCCATATACGAAATGATATCAAACTTTTTTCCAAACCTGGAAGTGTATTTTCAAAATCGAAACAGCATGCGCCAAATATTTTTGTATTTCCGTCCATTTCGGAAATACGTAAGATGGCTAGATGCTTGCTGGGAGCTTTCCTCTCTCTCCTCTCCTTAGCCAGTCAGAGCCTGAAAGAGGAGGAGGAGGAGGAGAGGGCGGGGAAGGCACCGGCTGAGCAAGCGAGCGAGAGGGCGAGCGACCCTCAGCGGGAAGGCGGCCCCGTCCCTCCTTCCTCACCTTTGCGGTGGGTGTGCTTCGGAGGAGCCAGGCCCGACTCGGCGGCAGCGCTTGAGAGCCCGCCAGAGTGAATGCCTGCCTTCCCTCCTTTCCCTTCCTCTTTTCTTTCTTCTCCTGTCCCTCCTCTTGGTGGAGAGAGAAAGAGAGAGAGAGCCCGCAGGACTCAGGAGGGTGGGACGGAGCTGGGAGCAGCGGGGAGGCTCAGTCTGTTTGCCCTGTGGCTCTTTTTGGCAAGCATTTCTGCCAAATATTTTTTTTATTATTAAAAAAAATTAATAATTAAATTAAAAAAATATTGAAAAAATATTGAAAAAAAATTCGTTGATGCTTTGCGCATGCGCAACCGCGGGCGCCATCTTTACAAAACGTTTTGTAAATATTAACGAAATTTCATAAATACCAAACTTTTTTAATGGAAAATTTCGGATATATTTTTAAATACAAAACGCTGAGGCACCCTAAAAACGAAACGATATTAGAAACAAATTTTTCCGTTGTTACCAAGGCCTACTAAACATCCATTCAGTGAACATTTGTACTATTGTTTTAGTTTAGTATGCTATGACCCATATTAGCTTGCTGCAATTTCAGTTAGGTGAAAACCTTCTCATTTCCATCCCTCAGTATCAATATTGCAACATATATATCATTTATTCCAACTCTTCCAAATGAATGGTATTTTTGATGTAACCCAAAGTGCAACATGAGGAGATTAATCTATTTCATATTATATTTTCATAGTTTTAAAAGCTACTGTCAAAATTATGAAGCCACTGGCTTCTAATTGACTTGTTAATGCTTGTCCCATTGATCTTGTATTCTGGCATTTGAAGGACATAGAAAAACTGCTACAAATATCTCTCAAACTTTACCCACCACATAGCATCCAGCTGTGCTACCTGTGTACCTCTGTATATTTCCAGCTTTTAATAAGCCATGCTGGATTTTAACATACCTGAGTGATCTCTGTCAATCATGTTAAAGATACTCTCCAGATCAGCTTTGTATCTACATAGGGTTTCCACCAACGATGGCTGAACCTGAAGAACAGTTGGTTGAAAATTAGAATTTATCCAATCTGAATATATAATGATTTCATAAATCATGCCCTTACTTTTGAAAAAAAAATCCCTGCATTTATAGAAACGTCTGTTTGGTTCTAAATTCTACAAGGAAACATAAGTATTCCTTTGCCTGTGCACTAATGGACCCATTTCATAAAAACATCAGCTGATGGGTACTGGCTTCTAATGAGCATATAAATGAACAGGGTTTGAACTCAGAGACTGGACCCCCACTTCAATAATTATTAGTTTAGAATTCCTGCAAACAGAATCTGCTGGGTGTAAGAAACAGCAGAGAATTGGAGGGCCTATAGCCCTTCACATTTACAGAAATAATGTATATTCATTACCTCTGAGGTTACATTATTTATGCTTCAATAGAAAGCCAAACCTTTGCTTGGCTACCAAAATAAATATTGTTGTTTCCGTGTTCAAAAGTACATAATTCACAACAAAGTATAAAGTACATTAGTGCTTTACTTGGCATTGCAAAAACAGTTTGTTTCCTTACCTTCTACAAGTTTGTTTCAATGACAAGAATGGGATTACATTCAAGTCAATGAGGGGTTTTTTTTTACTGTCAAATTAGTTGCTTTTGTTGTATTTTAGAATATTATGACTACATGGCAAAGAGACTACACAGTTGTTTTAAAAAAATTACTGACTACAGAACAGGACAGCATGGTCACATATTCACTCTGAAAGATGACATTGGGACATGATGTGTCTATAATGCTCTTTACCTGACTTAACTGGGTGAAAGCTTTGTGGTTGTAGCAGTAGGATAGAGAGGTCCTGTTCAGTGCCATGGTTCCCAACCAACCCTCTTTTCCCCAGAAGTCTTTTCACAATGGCACATGTTTGGAGCAGGGGAAGGGAGCACAGGGATAGGGCATGAGAAATTGGTGAAGGGACTGCAGGACACCCAGATGTAGGCTTCATTTCATCCTATAATTGAGCCCCTGGTGGTGCAATGAGTTAAACCCTTGTGCTGGCAGGACTGCTTGACTGATAGGTTGACGACTCAAATCGGGGGAGCGGGGTAAGCTCCTGTCAGTCGAGCTCCAGCTTCTCACGTGGGAGAGAAGCCCCCTACAGGATGGTAAAACATCAATCATCCACGCATCCTCTAGGCAACATCTTTGCAGACGGCCAATTCTCTCACACCAGAAGTGACTTGCAGTTCCTCAAGTCACTTCTGACTTGGATAAATGCAGCTGCTCATTGCGACACAGGGTAGTTCTTAGTTGAACACTGTCCCGCCCTCTGTTTGTGGATGTGAAAGTTATTTTGTTTCTTAACTTCATTTTGTTACAATGGTTTGGGCCTGAGGCAGTTCTGTGATAAGCAGTTGAGGTCCCCACCAGGGACCTTGGGGTATAAGGAATGAAGCCTTTCCCAGCTTAGGACAGAAGACTTCTTCCCCATTCTCAAGTGACAGGGGACACACACAGTTATTTCTGCCCAAGTTGAATCCCAGTTCTGTAATTCCAGATGGGTTGGAAGTGTGTGTCTTTCTACTGGTAGAAGACAGGTCATTTTATCCTTGGATTTGAACAAATGCTGAGGCCAAGCTTCTGTAGATGTAATTTATAAAGTCTGGGATCCTGTTTACTCTGATCTCAGTTTGCTATGTGTTTGGGAACCCCTCCCATTCACTTCTAAACCCGGAAAGTCAGCACAGCTACTGGTAATTCAGGGGGCAAACTGCATTTACTAGAACTATTTTTAAGAGCAAGCACTTTTTATAAAACCCATCTGACATATCTACACAGAATTATATAATGGAACAAAGAGCATGCAATTAGATTGTTTAGCTCGGTCAATTTTCTAAACGATTTCACCTCTTTGATTGGCAATTTGATTTCAACATCATCAAAAGATGAAAGGTATTCAACATTTCCATCTTGATCCAGACAAACCAGTCTGGAACGTAAGGTTCTCCAGGGGAGGTCAAGCTGAAGAACAGATTCCACCGCTGAAACCCATTCACTGGGAGAAATCTTCCCTACCAAAAAAATGGAAGGAAACAAGAAATCAAAAGCACTTTATGATGATTAAAAAGCCCGAGCAAGGAACATGAATATTTTATGCTTAAAAGCTACCTAGCTGGTGATTCATCAAGTAGATGTATGCTGAGGAAATGATTTTGAGATAAAAATATCATTTCAGGAAAAGCCCTGGGGTTAAGTATGACCAACCTGCTTGAATAAATAAATGGAAAATAACCAAAGAAAGAAACCTCCAAAGTTTGTGGGCTTACATCCTAAAATGATGTTCACTGACATTCTATATTACTTTTTACTTAACATAACTTGCGTATGCAGTACAACTTCCATATCCACAGGAGATATGTTCCAAGCCACACACCCCCTTCCCCAGGACACCTGAAACTACAGATAATGGCAAATCTCATGTTTTGAACATAGTTGTGCTAGAAGCATTTTAAAGAATAAAACTGGAGGACCTAGAGATGTCCAGAAATACTTGCTGGTGTGTGTGTGTGGGGAGGGGGAGGTGTTTTGAGAGTGGATTAGTGGAATTGTGGATATTGAATCCATGGAAGGACATTATACTGTACCATGTTATGTAGAAGAGGCACTAAGACACTCTGTTTTGTGAAAGGCAAAGGCGCTTTTAATGTTGCTATATAGTAGACTGAACTTTGTTCATTAGGACTGAACAACAGTGCCTGATGCCTATTGTTTCCCAGTGAGCATCAGTCCTACTGTACAGTGCTCCATCTGCTATGTAGGAACGTAACAGCAGCCTTGACTGAATATGAAATGATCCAATTTTAAATTTGCACCTAGGAAGACATAACTTCCATACAGGATTTTGCGCACTATGATTATGATTATAATTATGACTAATCTCTCCTTTCCACAGTGAAATAATGCTCAAAAAAAGCTGGTTCTAAGGGGGGCATATTACACAAGGTAGTCAAAGAAAGACTTCTCCCATATGTCAATGTATCTCTACAAGTCATGGTAACCTCATGAAGATCTCTCCTGAAAATCTGAAAATGTACATAGGTTCATCATGACAAAGCAGGTGACATCTCAGATTTACTTATGGCAATTCTAAGGCAAATTAACACAATTACATTTAATTTGGTCCAGGAAACCAACCAGTGAAGTTTGTGAATCTATGGTGACTAGTTTCAGAGTTTCCCATGCCCTGAAATTTCAGACTTAAGACTTAAGACCTAGGCATAGTTCCTTATAAAGGGTCCTAGTGATCTTGTTCGACATAATGTTAAGTATCAACCGCAATTGTTCAGAGCACATGCTCTCCAACTTTACCAATTTGTCAGGAGTAGCCCCAATTAATCCACTAATGTTCTACTTCTTCAGCTCCTCCACCCACTTTCCCCCTTTTCCTGACTTATTTTACTGGCTGCAAACTGAGTTCAAAATACAAAAGGTATTTAAACTCAATTAATTCAGCAAGGGGCAAGATTTTTCCCTTCCTGGAAGATTCAGGCAAACACAAACTACTGCAGTTTTTTTTCATTCATGTGTACTTCCTCATCAGTCACTTGGCCATCTTAAGTACATACACCTTGAACATGTGTCACACTTTTTATCTGTGAAATGTTGAATGGCACGACAACAATCCATTCAAATCACAAACAATACTAACAAATGAGGAAATATTCATCTGGTTGGAAAGGAAATGCTTTTCCCACCTTTGCTTTTAACACCTTTACAAGTGCTACTTTCAAGAATACACAGGAGATGTAGCCCAACCAAAAATAGTTTCAACTTTGAACTCTACACCGCAGTCTACAGTAGCTGCTCCACAAAAACCCAAAGTGTAACATACACATATATTATCAAGGCAGTTATCTTGTCTTGAGATTCCAGGACAAGTCACTTTCCTGTTACATTGAATGAGACCTCAAAGCATTTGTGTTCAAATTTGTATTACCTGTACCATTCCGGTCATACTGTCTAAAAGCTGCAATCAAATCCGATTTGTGTATGTAAATCTTTTCTCGCAAACACTTTAAGGCAGACAGCTCAATTGTGGAAACTCTGAAAAAAGGAGGTGGGAAGAAACAGCTATAAAAATCTCACTGGGTATTTGATTGTACGCCTTTCCATGTCTTCGAATCTCTATGATTCCTTTGTGGTAATAAATAGGTATACGAATAGAAAAGTAGCCAAAATTGTTAGGGAGCTAAATGAAACTAATCAATGGTATATAATCCAGATAAACTGAAAAACGAAAACCTGAGAAACAGCGAACTGTTGCTTAAGCAAAATCACATATTGGATCAAATGTTATTTCAATTCCGTGCTTCTTGGTCTGTATGCACATTAAAAGCTGTCAAGTGAAGGCAAACAAAACAATATTTTTCGCTACATAGACACATGGCTAGAAGAACTCACTAGCCATAGCTACTCACATTTATGACCCAATCATCAATCCTTGTTTCCTACAGTAACGAAATGCTAAACAAATAGCCACTTAAGACCAAACCATCTCAACCGACTCATTATTTGGATGCAAAATCCTATGAATTGACTTTACTTGCAAAATGATTGCTGTAATATCAGTGCACTCATTGTTCAGGAGCCCTTTGAAGGCAACCATAAGGCTGATATGGCCCTCAATGAAAATGAATTTGATATGCCTACACTAATGGATTGTTCACAGAAAAAAGCACTATGAGGTATCTTCACCCAAACTGGTTACTGAATTGTTGCTGAGAAATAATTAATGGATTACTTCCAGAGTGAGAGAAAAAAAATACATTTTCAACAACGTTGCAATGTCTAGAGAGAAACATCATGAGGCACAAGCAGGACTAATGCATCACAATGACAGTATAACAGCATGGAATAAGAACACCCCTAGTAAACAATATCTGTGAATTTATAAACAGCCAGCAAAGAGGATATTAGGAGCCAACAAACTGCTAAAGCCAGACAGAACAACTACCAGTCCTGTAAACAAATGCCCAGATGCCTATATATTCTGGTCCAGAAAGTTTTAGCCAACTCAAACTAAAAATCCACTAGCTGAAATGTGTTATTGTATAACTTATGGTAGTCATATTTACTGTTGGTTGCACTTTATGTTATTGAATATTTGCCGCTGTATGTTGTCAAATGCCCTGAGTCCTCATTGCGGAGATGAGGCAGGATATAAATAAAGTTTATTTATTATTTATTATTATTAAATAACATTTATAAAGGCAAGGCTTAGCTTGGGAGGTTTAGTTTGATTCACAAGGCTATTAACAAACATCTCCTAACCCTCTGCAATTAACAAAGCTTTCACAAAGGTTGTTCTTCTTGTGGTTGCTGCACTATTTCCATTGATGGAGCACATTCTGAGTTTCATGCATTTTTTTGTTTTTAGTAGACATGTCCTCTTTATCCTACCTCTGCTGCAGGGTCCGTTTAGGTGTTGATTTGCTAACTTGATACTGAACAAAACGAGGTATCAGATCTGGGTTCAATTTGATGTAAGCACCACGATTACTTCCCTCTTCATAGTAATTTGAAGCAGAAAATATAGTGATGACCTTGTGTTTTAAAGGGAAATAAAATGTTCCTTTAATTAATGAAAAGTACAGTCTGACATAGAAACATGCAGAAAGACTATCTGCAGTCTTAGACTGTGAACAGAAACAGATACACAAGCAATACTTTTGGCTCCTAGCCTTATGGAATCTGTGCAATGCCCAAGGATCTATGGATTACAATACAAAACAAAGATTCGGGCCCTGGGTACAAATTCTTTTTTTCCCATATGGTGATCCTGACAGGACATCTGATGCATATTTCTATGCAACACAAGAAAAAAAATTAACTGCAGACATATCACATGATGTGCAAAGGAGTCACTCAAACTTGCTACATAGAAGAACTTTCTCATGTTTTCAAATGACTTGATTTAAAACAAGAAGGGAGAGGTGAACATGATGTAGAAACCAGAAGAAATATGCAGCAGGTAGAGTATAGACCAGGTATGGGCAAACTTCAGCCCTCCAGGAGTTTTGGACTTCAACACCCACAATTCCTAACAGCCTACCAGTGGTTAGGAATTGTGGGAGTTGAAGTCCAAAACACCTGGAGGGCTGGAGTTTGCCCATACCTGGTATAGACCTTCATTGTGACAATTCCAGAACCCCCAGTCACCATGAAACCCCTATCATGCAGAAAAATATCTCCATATGTTCATCTCCACCAAGAGCCAGTATTTTGTAAAACTAATGGATCTTTCTCACCCAGGACCAAACCCCCCACAATATTTGGAATAAAAACAAAGATAAATCATAACAACATACTGCTGCCAAAAAAAAAATCTCCACTTTTCCTATAGTTGCAATATCAGCTAAGCTCAGACACAGCAGGGAAACCTGAGGGTTCTGGCAGATGATATTGCAACCTGCTAATCAACAAAGTACTTTGGAAAATCGCAAACTGAGAAACTCATTGTCAACCCTGCTTAATCATCTTTTCCTTAGCCTACTGAATCAGCTTTTCCATATCTGTCATAGAAAAGAAAGAAACAGTGACTATGAAGCAAAACAACAACAACAAAAAAAAACAACAACAACTCAAAACAAACCTACTATGTGCTATTCCTAATTACATTATGTGTGAGTAGTGATTCCTATTTTGGTGCCAGGTGCTACTGAACCATTTTTCTTGATTATTCCATTCATAGTTAAGTACAGTTAAACTTTAAACCATTGATTACCTTTCCATAATGGCTGATCTCATAGCCTTCCTCTTTGCATTCATGAGACCTGATGAGCATTTTCAAATTGTAACGTTTTAGCAACCTGGCTGTAACATCTGGTCCAAAACAGCAACCACCGCCTCGGTATTTGTTTGGTGTACAGCCATTTTGATGTTTAGGATCACTCCAGAGAATGTCTACTACCTTTGAACGGAAAACAAAGGCTAGTGACTTTCAGTCACTGAAAATAATAATAATAATAATAATAATAATAATAATAATAATACTTTATTTATATTCTGCTCTATCTCCCCGAGCCGGGGGGGGGGGGGCAGATTACGACATAGGCAAACATTCTATGTTTTAATACAGTGGAATAACAATGACATACAAATACACAGAACAAAGGTAAAGGCTTCCCCTATCATATCTGGCTTTCTGGAGGCAGTGCTCAACTCTGGCCATGGGGAGGTGCTCTTGTTTCATTTCTAAGCCATGAAGTCTGTTCTCTGCAGACACTCCTGGTCATGTTGCTGGCATGGCTGCCTTTATTACCTTCCTGATGAAATAGAACCTATTGATCTACTCACATTTGCATGTTTTTTGAACTGCTAGGTTGGCAGGAGCTAGGGTTAACAGTGGAAGCTCATCCTGACTCATGGCTTCGAATTACCAACTTTAGATCAGCAGACTCAACAGTTCAACCTGTTGCACCACAGTGGCTCCTTAAAATAAACTATACAACTAGAATTTGAAAGAAACCCAGGCCCCTTCAACACTGCCATATAATCCAGATTTTCAAAGCAAATAATCCTGGAAATGACCCAGGAACAAAAATCGTGTTACATAGTGTTCTAGACCATTTAAGTCCTTCCAGAATATGGAGGGTTTCTGTGCATGGACATAACTATGTATGTAGGATCCCTTCTCATGTGGCCAGCAAGGACCATAGACCCTCTCAGCACACAATCTTTGAACATCCATATGGTTATTTGAATTAACCAGCCAATTCTTCTGGCTTCAGGCAGAATAACTTACAATTGTAGAATTACAGAGTTGGCAGAGGCCCTAAAGGCCATCCAGTCTAACTCTCTGTCTTCAAGGAATACACAATCAAGTCACTCCTGACAAATGGCCAGCCAGCCTCTGTTTAAAAACCTTGTAAGCAGTACTGCGACAATGTGACTCAAAACTCATATTTTTAATGTTTCCAAAATTAAGTCATGGATTTTTACACCTTAAAAATCATCATATTCAGTAGATTGCAATTTTTGAAATACAGCTTCAGCATACCTGCTTCCATTCCTTTGGTGTTAATTCTGGAGATGTGTGTGTTTTGGTAACGGATGGCTTACAATGTTGCACCTCTACAACTGGATGAGAAACAGTTCTGTGACAGAGGTTGTCAGGGTGCTGCCTCTTACTGTATTGTCTGCTGTTGCTGGATGCTGACATAGACTTTGTGGCTTCTTTACTGGAGACGTGAGACCCAGAATTGGACTTCTTGACTTGTACTGGGTGGGAATGGGCATCTGTAAGAGTAGCTCTCCGTGGCTCATTGCCTGTTCCAGCATTTGATTTTGGTGGGTTAAGAACAGATTTTAGCTGAAAAGAAAAACCTCTTCTGTCACCATCTTCAGGGCACATTGTTGGCGTAGAAGGCCACATGCATATTATAGAATGCACACACATTTCTGCAGCTCTTTCACAATGTGAGACTATGCACTAAAATTAAGTGATAAATAGCTTTAGGGGTTAATGCAAAGGAATTTACACAAAGGTATTTTGTATAAAAAACAAACGATGAGTATATTGTGTTGTCAAAGGCCTTTATGGCCAGAATCACTGGGTTGCTGTGAGTTCAATGCTAATCAAGGTGGTGAACTGCAACATTCATACTTGCCTCCAAACAAAAGTTCTTTCTTCCACCCTGGACATTCCACAGATATATAAACCCCACTTGCCTAAATTAAAAACAGACCTCACAACCTCTGAGGATGCCTGCCATAGATATGGGTGAAACGTCAGAAGAGAATGCTTCTGGAACATGGCCATATAGTCTAGAAAACCCACAGCAACCTATGAGTATATTGTTACCTGCCTTTCCTTCCAGCTTGAGGTGGGGCATACATAACACAGTTAAAATACATAGATAAAACAAAGCGGCATAAAATACATATATTAAAAATGCAAATTCCTAGAGAGATCATTTACCCCTGGGCATGAGTATGTGAAGCCAAAGAACTGTTTCCCACTGTTATGGGGTTCTCACTGTAATATAGCCCATGAAATTATTTTTTTATTTAACTGAAAATTATAATAATCTGGCAAATTTATTGGGTTTTTTTTTTACCAGATGATGTGCTCCTGGGTAATTGGGCACCACTTTTTCATGTATATATTTAATATCATTGCATTATGACAATACCAACTTGATGGAAGTATTTCCCCTTCATTCACACAGAGAAAGGAATACTTTTCCTAAGGTGATGCCTTCCATGATATGTGTGCATCGTATTAACATAAAAATGTTTTTAACATTCTCATTAAATGAATAGGGTCAATTGACTAAATGTCAGTTTTGATTAAGCAATTAAAATGCCTCAGATTGGGTTGTGGCCTCTTAAGACACAATCCAGAGAAAGTCAAGTATGCATAATATGACACAGTAATTTAAAAATCAGCAGTGATTTTTCATCTTTATTTTTAAAAATCTACCAAATGCTATGACATTTTCAAGCAGCAGCCCCTTAATTCTCATTGATTTCAAGAGCATTTCAATGTTGTGAGCTAAATGGGAATAAAACATAGGAGGGTGCTTTGTGAGTGTAATATCTTACCTTATTTCTCTGAAACAGATTCAGGAACTTTAAATCAGTTGTGTCAGAGATTCCACCATGTAAAATTAGAACTTTGTTGTCAATTATAGTTGCAAGAGGAAGCCAGCTGTAGACATCTCGAAGAAGATGCAAAATCGTTGTACCGTGGCACTATTAAGTGGAAAATGTGATTTGTATTGCATTCCAGAAACATTCCAAACAATGGACATTTGCTTAAACATAAGAACAACTTCACCTTTACTTTATTATTTCAATGGTTCTAAGGAATTAGCTTATATGGCAATAGCCTATAAAGAACAAAGTAGTAAAAGCTATGATTCTCAATGGGCCATAGTTCCAAAGAAGTAGATAGAGAATTGTGTCCTGAAATTGAGAGTACACATGACACATGACAAACAAAATGGCAGGGATCCAAAAGGAAGGAAATACTTACCTGGTACTTTTTCATAACTTCTTTTGTGAACCCATATCTGAAATGAGTAACATATAATAATGAGTTTTAATGAAAATACATCTCAATGCTAATATACAGGTCCTGGAGCAAATAAATTGCACCAAACTGAGGTGTTATTCTCCCTTCTATGTTAAAAAGTTTCGAATCCGGGGAGCTGCGTGAGCTTCCACTGTCAGCCCCAGCTTCTGCCAACCTAGCAGTTTGAAAACATGCAAATGTGAGAAGAGCAATAGGTTACCTTCCGGCGGGAAGATAACGGTGCTCCATGCAGTCATGCCGGCCACATGACCTTGGAGGTATCTACAGACAACGCCAGTTCTTTGGCTTAGAAATGGAAATGAACACCACACCCCAGAGTTGGATGCGACTAGACTTAATGTAAGGGGAAAACCTTTACCTTTACCTGTTTCTCAACCTGTGGGTCCCCAGATGTTTTGGCCTTCAACTCCCAGAATTCCTAACAGCTGGTAAACTGACTGGGATTTCTGGGAGTTGTAGGCCAAAACACCTGGGGACCCACAGGTTGAGAACCACTGCCTTATAGGATTGTGCAATAAATTATTTTTCAATATAGGTAAACTCTATGTACAAACTCCACCAATTTGTTATTGGCCAGATCCCTTATTTTAATTGTAATATCTAACACAGGAGCCCCCGGTGGCGCAGTGTGTTAAAGCGCTGAGCTGCTGAACTTGCTGACCAAAAGATTGCAGGTTCAAATCTGGGGAGTGGTGTGAACTATTAGCCGCAGTCCCAGCTTCTGCCAACCCAGCAGTTCAAAAACATGCAAATGTGAGTAGATCAATAGGTACTGCTCCAGTGGGAAGGTAATGACGCGCCATGAAGTCATGCTGGCCACATGACCTTGGAAGTGTCTACAGACAATGCCGGCTCTTTATCTTAGAAATGGAGATGAGCATCAACCCCTAGAGTCAGACATGACTGGACCTAATGTCAGGGGAAAGCTAGGAAAGGAGCAAACCTAGTTGATTAGACTTATGAAATATCATATAAACAATGATAATACCTAAGATTCATGATGTGATCCTCATGATTCCCTCTGTTCAAGTGTAAATGGTTGGGGTAGACAAGCAGAAATGCAAACAGAATTATAAGTATTTCTATGGAATTTTTCCCCCGGTCGACAAAATCACCATTAAAAACGTAAGGATTTTCTTCCGAGGGGAGACCATTCTGTAGATAAGAACAAAATAAAAGGATCTGGTAGCATGGCATTACATTACCATCAGAATACTGCTGATTGGCCAGTATTGTACTGCAAAACTATGCATGACTCTTTCTTCTACTTGCTATCAAAGCAACTTCTGTAACAATTTATTTCTGTACCTGTGCCATGACTCATATCAGGTTCTGGTGGCAGCAGCAGAACAAAACCACCAATTACGGTATCTTGCCCCTTTGAACTGATATATCCACATAGAAAATAAATTGGGCAATCCCACATTATGATTACTAAGCATTGTATATATAAAGTTTTAGTCAGACCTCATCTGGAATAATACTGTGTCCAGTTCTGGGCACCACAATTCAAGATAGATATATACAAACTGGAACAAGTCCAGAGGAGGGCAATCAAAATGATCAAATGTTTGGAAACCAAGCCCTATGAGGAATGACTGAATGAGTTGGGTATGTTTAGCTTGGAGAAAAGAAGACTGAGAGGGGATATGATAACTATATGTAAATGTTTGAAAGGATGTCATATTGATGAGGGGACAAACTTGTTTTCTGCTGCTCTAGAGACTAGAATACAGAGTATTCTAGTCGCCCTATGTGAGAGCCATGCGTGACTTAGGGCCTTTTACTCTAGCACTTAAGACCTGGCTTTTTACTAGAGCATTCGATCTCTGTTAATTTTTAAATTCTGTATGTATGTATTTTATCTTTTACAATTTAGCTGTAAATTGCCTAGAGCATTCTCAGATGGAGTGCGATTAATAAGTAATTAAAGATGATGATGATGATGATGATGATGATGATGATGATGATGATGATATACTGGCCCCTTCCTTGCTGTCTCTCAGCAGACCTTGTTGTTTTGGCAATTCCTTGCAATGATAATTATTCAAAGGGGAAAGGGCCTTATATAATGTGGTTTTATTTTTTGGGTAGTTTCATTAAGTTTTTAACTTTTGCATGTTGTTAATGTTTAATTATGTTGTTTTAAATGTTGCAACCCACCTGGACTCCCACACAGGGAGAAAAAGGGCATATAAATAAATACGACAGCAACAGCAACACCTCAGCTCAAAATAGAATTAAACAACTTCAACTGGGAAAACCTAGTTCACCAAACAAATCAGATTAAATGCCGAATGCATGTCTGATAAAAAAAGAGAAAGAAGTTTCTGTCTGCTGGAGAAAGAACAGTGAATATAGCATCACTAGCGGGAATTAATTTTTTGTAACAGCGTAAAGAGCTTTAAATTATTATTCTTGGGCTGGCTCTACACTGTAGAATGGTGTTTGGCCCCACTTTCACTGTCATGGCTCAAGGCTTGAAATCTTGGGATTTGTAGTTTAGGGGAGCACTAGCACTCTTTGGCAGAGATTACTAAAGATCTTGTAAAACTAAAATTCCCAGAACTCCACAGCATTTAGCAATTGCAGTCAGAGGCGGCCCTAAGTAATTTTCAACGGTAAGCAAACAGTATTTTGGCGCCCCCCCCCCCCCAACCAATCATTGATATATATTTTCTGTTCATCATGGGAGTTCTGTGTGCCATATTTGGTTCAATTCCATCATTGGCGGTGTTCAGAATGCTCTTTGATTTTAGGTGAACTATACATCCCAGGAACTACAACTCACATATGTCAAGGTCTATTTTCCCCCAAGAGCGCCTCAAGAGCGCCCCTGGGCAAAATCAACTATACTGCAAATGCTTACTTTGCGTAATGGGTTGAGCCGCCCCTGTGATGCAGTAAAAGTTCTGTCTGCAAAGCCCAGGGCTCCATAGCCCTGGGGCGGCTCAACCCATTACGCAAAGTAAGCATTCGCAGTATAGTTGATTTTGCCCAGGGGCGCTCTTGAGGCGCTCTTGGGGGAAAATAGACCTTGACATATGTGAGTCAAGGCTAAACGGAGGGCTGCACAAACACAACAAGGACCAAGTACAAAAAGCACAATAATCCCAATTAAACAGCTCAAGGGAACATCCCAGGGGCTCACATGTCTTTACACTAATGCACAGAGCATGGGAAATAAACAAGACGAACTCCAACTTTTAGCACAACACCACAAATATGATATCATAGGGATCACTGAAACCTGGTGGGATGACTCCTATCGCTGGAATGTAGATATCGAGGGGTATAACCTTTTTCACAGAAACCGAACAAAGGGGAGAGGAGGCGGAGTAGCCTTATATGTCAAAAACTCTTATGCTGCAGAAGAGTCAAGACAGCAATCTGGGAAACCAGCTTGAAATCATCTGGATAAGAATCAAGGGAACTGGGACTCAAAAAGATGTCGTTGTAGGCGTCTACTACAGACCCCCAAGCCAGGAGGAAGAACTTGATGAAGTCTTCTGCCAACAGTTGACCAAACAGGCACAGAGAAGAGATGTAGTAGTCATGGGCGATTTCAACTATCCCGATATTTGCTGGAAAACAAACTCGGCCAAGAGTACAAGGTCCAACAAATTCCTCGCTTGCCTTGCAGACAATTTCATGGTCCAGAAGGTAGAAGAGGCAACAAGGGGATTGGCTACTCTTGATCTCATCCTAACAAAGTGCGGAGGACCTGATCGATGCGGTCGAAGTGGTAGGATCCTTAGGGGCAAGTGACCATGTGCTCCTGCAATTTGAGGTACAAAGGAAGGCCGAAACTAAAACAAGCAAACCCGCATTTTGGACTTTAGGAGAGCTGATTTCCAAAAAATGAAGGAAACTCTGAGCAGCATTCCGTGGACACAGATACTAAAAGACAAGGGAGTTACGGATGGATGGGAATTTCTCAAGAGTGAAATACTCAAGGCGCAATTGCAAACCGTGCCAACAAAGAGAAAAAATAGGACAAGTGCAAAGAAGCCAGAATGGATGTCCAAAGAACTTCTAACTGTGCTAAGAAACAAAAGAGACATGCACAAGAAGTGGAAAAAGGGAGAAATCACCAAAGAAGAATTCAAACAAATAGCCAACACCTGTAGGGAAAAGGTCCGCAAGGCTAAAGCAAAAAACGAGCTCAGACTTGCCAGGGACATTAAAAACAATAAAAAGGGCTTCTATTCTTATGTCAGTAGAAAAAGGAAAAACAAGGAGGCGATAGGACCTCTTCGAGGAGAAGATGGGGCAATGCTGACAGGGGATAGGGAAAAGGCAGAACTACTTAATGCCTTCTTTGCCTCGGTCTTCTCACAAAAAGAGAGTCTTCAACCTCAGCAAGATGGAGTGGATGAGGGATTGGAGGACATCCAACCCCAAATTGGGAAACAAGTCGTCCAGGAATACCTGGCCGCTCTAAATGAGTTCAAGTCCCCAGGGCCAGATCAACTACACCCAAGAGTATTGAAGGAACTAGCGGAAGTCATTTTCGGAACCATTGGCAACCATCTTTGAGAGTTCTTGGAGAACGGGAGAAGTTCCAGCAGATTGGAGGAGGGCCAATGTGGTCCCAATCTTCAAGAAGGGAAAAAAGGATGACCCAAACAACTACCGTCCGGTCAGCCTCACGTCGATACCGGCAAGATTCTGGAAAAGATTAAGGAAGTGGTCTGCAAACACTTAGAAACAAATGCAGTCATCGCTAATAGTCAACATGGATTTATCAAAAACAAGTCATGCCAGACTAATCTGATCTCTTTCTTCGATAGAGCTACAAGCTGGGTAGATGCGGGGAATGCCGTGGATGTAGCGTAACTGGATTTCAGTAAGGCCTTCGACAAGGTCCCCCATGACCTTCTGGCAAGGAAACTAGTCTAATGTGGGCTAGGCAAAACTACGGTGAGGTGGATCTGTAATTGGTTAAGTGGATGAACACAGAGAGTGCTCACTAATGCTTCCTCTTCATCTTGGAAAGAAGTGACGAGCGGAGTGCCGCAGGGTTCCGTCCTGGGCCCGGTCCTGTTCAACATCTTTATTAATGACTTAGATGAAGGGCTAGAAGGCATGATCATCAAGTTTGCAGACGACACCAAATTGGGAGGGATAGCCAATACTCCAGAGGACAGGAGCAGAATTCAAAGATCTTGACAGATTAGAGAGATGGGCCAAAACTAACAAAATGAAGTTCAACAGTGACAAATGCAAGATACTCCACTTTGGCAGAAAAATGAAATGCAAAGATACAGAATGGGGGATGCCTGGCGCGAGAGCAGTACGTGTGAAAAAGATCTTGGAGTCCTCGTGGACAACAAGTTAAACATGAGCCAACAATGTGATGTGGCGGCAAAAAAAGCCAATGGGATTTTGGCCTGCATCAATAGGAGCATAGTGTCTAGATCTAAGGAAGTAATGCTACCGCTCTATTCTGCTTTGGTTAGACCACATCTGGAATATTGTGTCCAATTCTGGGCACCACAATTCAAGAGAGATATTGACAAGCTGGAATGTGTCCAGAGGAGGGCGACTAAAATGATCAAGGGTCTGGAGAACAAGCCCTATATGAGGAGCGGCTTAAAGAGCTGGGCATGTTTAGCCTGAAGAGAGAAGGCTGAGAGGAGAAATGATAGCCATAAGAGAAGGCTGAGTGGAAGCCACAGGGATGAGGGAGCAAGCTTGTTTTTTGCTTCCCTGGAGACTAGGACGCAATAGAACAATGGCTTCAAACTACAAGAAGGAGATTCCATCTGAACATTAGGAAGAACTTCCTGACTGTGAGAGCCGTTCAGCAGTGGAACTCTCTGCCCAGGAGTGTGGTGGAGGCTCCTTCTTTGGAAGCTTTTAAGCAGAGGCTGGATGGCCATTTGTCAGGGGTGATTTGAATGCAATATTCCTGCTTCTTGGCAGGGTGTTGGACTGGATGGCCCATGAGGTCTCTTCCAACTCTTTGATTCTATGATTCTATAGGATGTTGCTATGGCAGTTAGAGTAGAAATATAGCACTATTAATTATGAGACATGATGGGCCACAGTGTTTCAACATTCTGAGCTCTGGTTTTAGGATGCCATTTAAAAGCCAATCAGAAGCAGCTTGGGAATATACTGCAAGTCATTTCTAGTGTGAGAGAATTGGGTGTCTGCAAGGATGTTGCCCAGGGGACACATGGATGTGTTACCATCCTGTGGGAGGCTTCTCTCATGTCCCCGGATAGGAAGCTGGGGCAGACAGACAGGAGCTAACTCTGTCTCACGGATTCAAACCGCTGACCTTCAGGTCTTCAGGTCAGCAGTTCAGCCGGCACAAGTATTTAACCCATTGCTTCCACAATTCAGTTTGATCAATACAAGGACATGACTGCTGACTCCATTTCCAGCTTCCAAATCATCAGAAGCTATTCAGAAGTCACTTGACTAACTGAAATCTATTTCCAATAATGAATAATCTTGCATTTGGAAACATACAAGTTAAGTTTGTTTGACTGGAACAGAATTCTTGCAACAAGAACTTTTAAGGGAGCATACATATTACACTTGACATTTCATTTACATTTCAAATGCAAAAGTTGCATCTCCTTAAAATATAAAGCTGGCATCCTTGTCTCCGTTTACTTTCCTTGAGCACTTCTCTAGTTTTAGCTAACACAGAGGGGTGGGGGGATGACATTATCATCCATGGCAGCAGGAAACAAGAGCAAAAGATAGCTTTCCAATGGTTTGTGTAACTGAAAGTTGTACTGTCTCATTAGAGTGCCTTCTGGGTACGTACTTAATTAGCTTCCCTTTGTCAATCTGGCTTTTAATTCCGCTCCAGGATGTCTATATGCATAGCATCAATTTAACACAGAGACTAATTTAGCAACTGGCAATTTCAAATATTATGGGCTAGAGATGTTGTACGATTTTTTTCCCCCAACAAAAATGATGGGAAATGGTATCATTTAACAATGGTGAGTGCAGTGAATAAAAGTATCTCAAATTGTCTGCTTTAATTAAGCAAAGGTGTATGCAGAAGATAAGTAATTTAAAAGCATTAAGGACTTGTTATCTAGCTGAACAGGCTGCAGATAATATTAGGGTCATCATTTAAGGCTGTTAAACTGCTTGCCTTCCCTTGTTCCTCCAAAGGCGATATTGATTCATATAATCAGAGCAGTCTGGCAGTAAAATCAAAGACTACAAGCCACACTAAAATCTTAACCAAAGATTCTGGGCTTTACCACACAATTCACCCATGAAAACAAGCTTAATTTGTATCAAAGCTCAAAGCATATTAATAATTTTATAGTAGTATGCTGGATCCTGCCATTGAGTATTCTGAGAAGAAATAAGGCCATGAAAGGAAGGACCTACATCTGCAAACTTCCCCCCACCTCAATGATGTTCTTTTATGTACAGTAGGCCCTCCACATTCACTGGGATTAGGGGAACAAGATCCTGTGAAAATGGGAAAATTATTGAGAGTTAAACATGCATTTTATTTATTTTTAAAACTCTTTAGGGATCTCTAGGTTCTCCAGCATGACTCTATGTATGTTTGTATAAAATATGAAGCAAAGTAACCCTTACATGAACTTTGCCAGCAACTCGGGGCTCAAGAATTTCCAAACTTCCTGAGCCAATAACCCCCTTAACAAAGGTCTTGACAGAAACCCATTTGCATGGACAATAAATAAATGGCCCCTTTTCCTGGACTTTGGAGGGCCTTGTTGGCCAGACCATCCAGGACAATGGAACCTATGGACATACGGAATCACCCAATACAAAGGCACTTCCCAGCCGTGAGGAACCAGGGATGTGTCACTGCCTCCCCCACTGTGCCATTTCCCAATCTTCAAAAAGGTGTTTCAACTCCAATCATCAAGTGTTACAGGACTATAAGACAATGGAACTGGCTCTTTGGGGCCAGACAGAAGATGTTATTTCAAGACTCAAGACAACAGCCTGGGCTGAAGCTTGAGGGCTGAAGTTATCGCTTTGGCTCCCTTATCAATACAGGCGCGGAAAGGCCCATCCATAATCCATCACCATGACATTTTTTTCATTGTTTCCCTGTTGCCCACCTCCTTCCACCTCATTGGCTGAGCAGCCAAAGCAGGGCTCAGCCTCTCATTGGATCTCCTGCTGGCTTGCTGATTTCACAGCCACTCACAATAAAGCCGGCTCAGGGGGGTGGGCATGGGAACTTTTGAATCCGACAGCCCTATAAATATTGTTTTTCTCTGCCCAGCCAGCATGTCGGCTCCTTGGGCAGATAACTGCGGTCGTCGTCCATTCCAGCTGGAATGAAATAAAACCTCGGTGGCTTTTGCTTCAACTTGGTGAGACTTTATTTGGGAAAATTAAGGGAAAAAATCTTTCTTGGAGCTTGCTGTCTCACCAGGTGTCCCGGATCCTTTTTTTTAGGTCTGGCCAGTCTCTGCCTAGGCAGGGCCTCCCAAATTCATGTTCGGCATCACACTCAGTTTTAGTAAAGATGGAAAGATGGCCATGAGTCAAAAATTGACACCAGAAAATAATAATCAGTGTACAGACTAACAAATAAATGAATTTATGTTGAGGCACCTTGATAAGAGCCACAGGAACTTCACATTTACTTACTTTGTAGAAAATCAGTAAAAGATCATCTAGCTTTCCATGTAGATCACCTAGAAAAAACACAAATTTCCATAATGAACACAAGTAAGTAAACTGGCAGGACAATCTATACATACAGTCTTATGGGGGGCTGTGGATGTAGACTTTTAAAATATGACAAATTGCTAATTTTACATATATCAGGGTGTGTGACTGTACTTAATGTTATATAATCTGTCTTTTGTTATGTTGTGTGCCGCTTTGAGTTCCATTCTGGGAGAAAAGTGGGATAGAAATAAATAAATGATGCATGTCAACCCAGAAGTAAGTCTTATGAAGTTAAATGACTTTAAATCCCAGATAAATGGGTGACAAGTAAGTAAAAACATAAGAATCTTTATCATTATTGTCCTGCCCCCCAACCCAACTGTTGTGTTCCACCGCATATGTGCTCCAAACATATATTGTAATGCTATCATCAGTGTAGTTGTGCTGCAGTGCTATACATATGCATTTGCAGGTGCCCAAATTAACTCACCTAGGAGATAATTTTCATTTCCAGTCCTACATGCTGGGAGATTATATTATCAGCCCTATTTTCCAGTTTCACAGTGTACAGTTTGTGTAGGCATATATATCTATCTCAATCACAGTAGGACAGGAATGTGGGGTTATGAAGGTGTGCAAAGGTATGATCATGGGACTATAAATTGATGGATTGGTGCAATTACACTGATTAAGAATACTTCAATATCAAAGGAGGTCAGTGAAGTGTGCATTAACTATCGGAGGTTCCCCGTGCCAATATGCCAGCTTCCGTGGTGAATCGGCTGGGCAACGGGACAATCCTGGCATCCTGCGCCCCACCCAGCTGACAGTGATGCTTCTCCATTATACATGGGCTAATATCACTGTATGGTTTCCCCCCGCAGTAGCACTGTTGTTCCTGTTGCCCCAGTTGAGCAATAGAGCCCCACTGGAAGTGAGGCTACATTGTGTGATAGGTGGCCTGGCATGGGGCTCCATCACTCAACTGGGGCAGAAGCATCCTAGGATGCTAAAAATTCCTTGTGTGATGAGGTCCCTAGTAAGACTGCAACTCCCATGATCCTGTAAGCATTGAGTCATGGCAGCTAAAGTGGTGTCAAAGTACATTGAACTCAGTTTATTATAACTCAAATAAGCCAAGGACAAAGAGACTGTGGGAGGAAGAAAGAGAAAAAGAAACATTTTAAAAGCAGCTGGAGAAGTGGGTCAACAGATGGATCATGTCAAATCAAAACAGTAGGTGGGTATGATGATGGTGAAAGTTAATATTTTTTTTTAGATTTGCTATTAGGTTGTGAAAATAATTAAAGCATTGTTCAATCAATGAAATAAACATATTTTGTTAGATTTGTCTAACACTTTTTGTTAGCAATTACGTTGTACATAAATGTGTGTGCATAGTAGGCTTTCCACTTACTTATGTAGAATGTCCATTAAGTAAAAAAAAAACCATTAAGGAAAAAACCCCCACATTTTTCTTTACCAGAGAGAACACCTGAGCTGTGAGATTGGGGAAACATTAAAGGACAAAGTTAGATATCATACCCACAAGTGTTGTATCTGAATTCAAACCCCACTATCCTGACTAAACAGAACAAACCGCAGACTACCAGATGTCGCCATATCACAACTCCCATCAGTATCTGGAAAGCCACATAAAACCACATGTTGGGGCAGATTTGGCCCATAGGCCTTGATTTTGACACATGTGACCCAGAGGTTTCTAGAGAAATCATATTAATCAAATTCAAAAATAATCAAATCCAGAAATGTTAAATCTACAAATGTGGAGAAATGATTCTAGTTTCAGGACAAACTAGAGTTCACTTTCACTTTCTTTTCTGCAAAAATCTGCTGAAGCTCACCCACCCCTTTTAAGTTACAAGTAGTGAGGCATTTAATTTTAGGCCGTTCCAGAATAACCGGCATTTACTGCTAGTACCTCTCAAGATTTAGGCCACATATTCCATGGTTTTGGTGGTTTAAGTCATAGGGTTGGGCGGTTTCGTTTCGTTAATTCGTAATTTGTTAAAAATTCGGTTTTTTTATAACGAAGCGATAACGAACCATTCTGGAGCAGCTTAAAAACGAAACGAATTTTTAAATTCATTTCGTAAATGCTTCGGATTCATTATGTATTCGTTTCATTATCGGTTTGAGGTCGTTTCGTTATTATTTCCGCATGTCTGGGGCAAGTTTTATAGTTGTTTTTTGTTTAATTAGTGAAAAAAAATTATAATATCACACCAACAGTCCACAACAGAGGGAGAGGGAAGCTTCAGAAGTTCCCCCTGTCCCATTTGGAGGTTTTTTAGCGTATTGCGTGGTCGCGTCCGCCATTAACGAATCGATTCGTTATTGTTTCGTATTTGTTTCGTTAATGTTTCGTAATTTTTTTAACATTTACGAAATTTCGTAAATATCGAACTTTTTAAAAGAAAAATTTCGGAATTCTTTTAAATATCGAAACGCAAAAACCACCAAAAAACGAATCGATGTTAGAAACAAATTTTTCCGTTGTTACCCAGGCCTATGAAGTCAGGTTCCTCTCTTGGGAATTAGGCCCAAACCTCGTGATTTAGGGGAGGGTTGGCTACATTCCCTCCTTTGCCAAGCCAGCATTGGCACAGGAACATATGGAAACTGGCCCCCTGCTCTCCCTTATTCCCTTTTCTATTCTTAATCAAGTTAAAAGTAGAGGGTTACCATTGATAAAGGCTTCAAAGAACTATGTTGCTCCTGGAAATGATACAATGAAACTTTCAAGAACGGAGGGGTTATTTCCCCTTGAAAGCGCCACTGCATCATTTCCAGGTACAACGGAGTTCTATGATGTCTCCAGCAATGGTTACTCTCTACTTTTAACTTATTAAAGAATAGAAAAGATGGTGAGGGATGAGAGGGTGGCAGTGCCATCCTGGTTCTTTGGGTTTCTGGAGCCCAAAAACCCGGGATAGTGTGGAGATTGATCCTCAGGATCACCATCTGCAATCCTGAGACTCAATCCCTATAGGGCTCACACCTGCAACATCTGGACCTTATTGAAAGTTCTGGATTTTTGCAGCTTTTTCTTAACCCAGAGCAAGATTTTAAAACCAGATTATCAGATTAAAACCAGATTATCTTGATGCATTGTTTCGATCCCTCAGGCTAATCCAGAAGCAATGACGGACTTTAAGCCTGTGTAGTAGGGCCCTCCTTTAGAGTTACTTTTCCTTGAATCATTTGTATGTGGCTTAGAGAGCAGAGCCTAGACATAGATGGCAAACTGAGGATCAAAGCTTACAATTTTCATCACACCAAGAGGTCATCACAAAACTAGGAAAACCTGTCTGCATGTGACTATTTAAATGTACAGTGTTCCCTCGCTACTTTGTGGTTCTCTTTCCATGGACTCACTGTTTTGTGGGTTTAAAAAATGAATTTAAAATATACAAGTACAGTAGCGAGGGAATGCTGAGTAGAAAGGCCCCGCGAATGCGCTCTGGATGCAGAGCTGGCAGTGGCAGTGGTAGCGTAGGCTCACTCCTCCTCGACGCCTCCCTTCCCATCGATTGAGTGAGTGAGAGAGAGAGAGAGAGAGAGAGAGAGGCACCTCGTCGCCACCTGGGCCTCTTGCCAACGAGGTGCCCCTCTCTCTCTCAAACCCAATTGGCAGGAAGGGAGGCACTGAGGACAAGGAAGGTAAAGAAGTTCTTCTTTATCCCTCTGGGGGCAGCTCTTCTTCCCTCCTCAACATCTTTACCTTCCTCCTCCGGGCGCTGCGGCTGCTCCTGCTGCAGAAGTGGCTGAGGAGGCACCTCATTGCTGCCTGGGCCTCTTGTTGCCGCTTGTTGGACCCCACGGTGCTTGGAGGAGGAAGGTAAAGAGGGTGAGGAAGGAAGAAGAGTGGCAAGTGGCAGCAAGAGGCCCAGGCGGCGATGAAGTGCCTCCTCTGCCACTTCTGGAACAACAGCAGCCCAGTCCGGGCCTGTTGGCGGGAAGGGAGGAGGAGGAGGAGGAGGAAGGTAAAGAGGGCGAGGAGAGAGAGAGTGGGGGGGGGGAGAGGCATCCCTACTTCATGGATTTTCACTTATCGCGGGTGGTCCTGGAACATTACCCCCACAATAAGTGAGGGAACACTGTATATATCAATAAAGCCGATTGAAAGGGGCTGCAAGACATGAAACTGACCTGCTTTAGAGGTAATCCACATTTTTGCCTGCACTTCAGGAAAAAATGCACTTTCATCTGTCACAAATCACATGGTTGGCCACAAACACCATTTTTTGCTTGAAGGATTAAAATCTCTTCATGATTAAGATTCTCTTCCAATTTTGCAAATGAGGACACCAATTGAAGGACGTATATACTTTGATTTGAAAAAGCATTTGAGAGTAATTGTAATTCATAGGAGACATAAAGCTCTCTTAGTGGCTCTTCCAATTGTGCACAAAAGGAGAGTGCATGAAGGATACAGATACATTGATTTGCAAAGGCATGTTTATATCTGAAAACATCCAAACCAGAGGACTCACTATTTTGGGGAATTATTATACTTTGTATGCATAGCCACTGCTTATTCCCCAGAACTCTCTGAACTACATAAAAGTAAAAAATATATATATGCAAGATCCCTTATTTACTGCTGCACTGAATCTTAAATGAGCTTTCATTAAAATGTGGTGTCACCCTGGACCTGTAGCAGCACAATTAATTCCATTTTCTAGCTGTTCCCTTGATTTCCAGTTATAGCACTAAATATAATCTGATATTTATTCTGCCATGCAGTCCAACCTCCTCCAGGAAACCCAAGTATCACGCTCTCATCCATAATTTATAGTAGCGAAATCAAGGGCAGTGGATCAGGAGGCCCTGACACTGCTACAATCTCCTTTGCAGGTAGAAAGCGGTGCTTACATCTTTATCTGAACAGATAGCAGGATGAACAAGAGGAAATAAAGATTTGCCTACAAGGGAGCTTTAAATCTCAGCCAGTGTGTACTTGTTCTTCAGCTATTCTGAACATTAATGTTAGGTTGGTAGTGCCCACAGTTTGTATCTACCTCACATCTTCCAGGCTTTCCATTACTATCTGTTAGTTACATTAGAATATTTTATACTACGTTCCATGGATTTTACACCTACACTCCAAAAACAATTCCAATTGGAAGAGTTTATGGACTTAGTAGAGCCTACAGTGCTATTTTCTGGCCTACTTATGAACAAAGTATAGTCAAAATATAGGGGTTGCTATTATCCACGGTTTCAAGGATCATATTTTTAAAAATCCCACAACCACAAGAAAAAGAACCTCTCTCATTCTCCTGCACACACATACAGTATAAATATACACTTTACAGTATGAAAATCCTCAGAACAAGCATAGAAACAACTACTTTCAACAACTATTTGGAATTACTCCTTTCTCTCAGCAATAAAGCTATATGCCCATTACATGAAACATAATAGGAATTTCACTTCTTTTGTAGTAAAACGGTGGATTTTGCTTACTTCTATAGTTACAGAGTGGTGTCCTCGTTAAATAGCAAAGGAGGAAAACCAAGCATTGGTTGGTGTTTTGGCTCATAATGTTGCTTTATGCTCTGTTGTAGATGTGGAGGTAAAGGCATGGTGGGCAGGAGGCCAGTAAGCTTGGTATATAATTATAGCATTCAGATTTCTAAAATAAAACTATAAGCAACATTGGTTACTTCATAATTAAATACCTTATATACTTGAGTATAAGCTGATTTTTTTCAGTCCCTTTTTAAGGCTGAAAAAAGCCCCCCTCCACTTATACCAGAGTCAAAGCTATTTATTATTTTGCTCTGCTATTTTTATTATTTTTATTACATTTATTATTTTACTCCCTTCATTATTACTGGAAGGATATGTAAGCATATTTATATTGAAGAAGGTTAGAATAATGTTTTAATCAGAGTTAGACAGTTTTACCTTAAATTACAGTTTTATGTAAATATTCAAAAGCATATAACCTATCTCATTTCCTCAATTAATGTAATTTTCGTTATCTATTTTTATTTTTGAAATTTACCAGTAGCTGCTGCATTTCCCACCCTCGGCTTATACTCAAGTCAATACATTTTCCCAGTTTTTTGTGGTCAAAATAGATGCCTCGACTTATATTTGGGGCGGCTTATACTCAAGTATATACGGGTAGTTACTCTTGACAAATGGGAAAGCCAGATGCAACCAAATATTTTTAAAAACTAAGGTATCAAGGTCTGAAACAAGCCTTTCATAACCTTTATATAAGGGACAGTCCACCATGTAAATGTGAGTATGAGGGCAAGGTGGAGTTTAGCATGCTGAATCACATTTCATGAATTAGAAAACTGAACAGCTACACTAACTTCCAATTGATTTTTGTCCTATTCTCATAATGGAGGATAATTTAATGGTCTCAGAATAAGTGTAATTGCAGAGGCATTTCCTTCATTAGGATCACGTTCAGGAAGCATTTGTTTGAGTACTTGGGGGAAGGCTAGAGGTGAAAGAAATTATTTACCACACAACGCAGCATTTTACAGATGGAAAAGCAGCTCTTTTCTGAAAAGTTTGCCTGACTTAATCACTGATTCACTCAGCAAATCTGACAGAAAAGAGGTGGGAGGAAACATTTGGCATACTTAAAATATTTGCCAGAGGGTGAGTCATCAGTCTTTTTTAAATTAAAAAAAAATGATAATAAAGGGAATACAAGAAAAAAGGGGTGGGATGGAGGGTGGCGGGGAGGCACTAATGCTCCAAAGGCATCATCTGCCATAAGAGACCTTGCAAATTCAAAATGCAAACTAGATGTCACCCTGGTGCTATGTCTTTCGTACAAAGGGTGCTCATAGCTTACCACAGATGGTGATTTCCTTGTCATAAGAGGTTGACAGATGAGTAATGTTTGGCATCTGCTGAAGGACCTTTCTGGTCTCGTGAAAGAGTTGAAGCACATATCTAGCATGGAGCTGCTGTGTAGAGACAGAGAAAGAAACAAGATATTACAAGCTGCCATTGGAAGACATCTATTACCAAAAGCCCTCCCTGATCCTGGCACCCTTCAAACTGTGTTAAACTCTAAGTCCTATTGTCATTACAGGACAGAGTATTTTGGATGGCTGATTTTGGTTGAGTAGTTTAACACATCATGTGCTGGACTGAGTAAGGCTGGTCATATCATTGGATGGGGGAATTTGTAACTGGCTGATACTGTTGGGTAACAGTCTCCATCATCCTTCACCATCAGTTATGCTGTTTGTGGCTGATGGAACCTGAAGTCCATTTGGAAAGTTATGTGTGCCCCAACCCCATCTTGCAGTGATTCCACTCAGGAAAGCAAATGTCGAAGTCCTGTATTTTAAGCATTGTGAATATTTACAATAATGCTTTCAATTGCCTTATACAGTGTTTTCTATATCAGTCTTGGACAGATTGACATGTAGAAGAAGGAGGAAAGCATGCAATATAATTATAATGCTGTATAAATGCAGATTCTTTATGTATATGAAATAATGCTATCCATGGGAAAATTGTATAATTTTCATTATGATGTATGCTGTTGTTGTTTTTGTTATTGTGTGCCTTAAGTTATTTCTAACTAATGGAAACCCTAAGGTGCAGCTATCACAGGATTTTCTGGGGCTGAGAGTATGTGACTTGTCCACAGTCACCCCATGAGAATTAATGATCAAGTGACGGTTCAACCCTGGTATCCAGAGTCATCTAGCACTCAAACCACTACATCATCCATGCTGATGCTCATCTATCTATCTATCTATCTATCTATCTATCTATCTATCTATCTATCTATCTATCTATCTATATCTATCTATGCCAGTGGTTTCCAATCTATAGTCCGTGGATGACTAGTGGTCCACAAGAACTAAAATATGGTCCGAGGCCTCACCATTACTACACTGTTGCAACAAGAGTGACTGGTCTCACAAAACCCTCGTATAGTGCTGAGGCTTATTAAATATGGTTTTCTGTGGGCAAGCACGTGGCAACTACTGGATGGCATATGTTCTGTATCAGAAACTAGAGCTGATGTGGCCTGCCCAATGCAATTTTCTGAACCCCAAATAACCAAACCTAATCTAAAGTTGTTCAAAACCTGATTTGTAACCTTTTTGGTACTAATGTTGGAGAGTGGTCCCTGGTCAATATTGTCCCTTGTCAAGTGGCTCCTGGTCAAAGTGGTCCCTGATCAAAAAAAGGTTGGGAACCACTGATCTATGCATACAGACATATATAAACAAATAAATTGATGGATGAATGGATGGATAGATAGATAGATAGATAGATAGATGATAGATAGATAGATAGATAGATAGATAGATAGATAGATAGATAGACAGACAGACTGATAGACAGACAGGATCGACTGAAAATAGATTTGCAAGGTTCCCCCTTTCCCCTAAGTTAGGAAACAGAATAAGTATAACATTTACTAACAGTTGCATTTATAAAAATCATAACCTTTTTTTTAAAGTAGCATAGGAAGATTCTGAAACACTGGAAGTTAAAAACTTTACTGAAACTGGTTGAGCATTAGTTAAGTCCCTTTCAAAAGAATTGAAATAGTATTTAACCCAAGCCAGGTCTAGCCATTTCAAAATGACATTGTTTAGGGTAATGAAAGCTAATTACACTATACATAGAACTCATGAATATAGTTTATTGAGAAAATGATGTCTATTCTTCTTTTTGAAATAAATAAAATTTCGTTTTTAAAAATTCAAATATTTCATCCTTTTCAGGATGTCAATAATAATTGTTTAAAAATTACTTTCCTCACCGCACACTCATTCAACTTGTGCAGCCTTCTTTCTCAATCCCATTGATCATCCTCTTATGATTATGACCTAAGCAACTTATAGATTCCTGTAAATATGAAATAAGGTACTGCCCGTATAATAGTCAGAACTTACCTGGTGATGCTTGAAAGCCTGAAGAAGGGCATTGATGTCAGCAGCTGTGAGGGGAAAACACAGACAAGGGCCATGGTAGGAGGCGGGTACCTCAATTCTCCTTTCATACTCTGTCATTGCAGGATCTGAACTTGCTATGTTGTAATCCCCCATAATGGAGACAAAGTGGGACTTAATGTCTGTAAAAAAACCAGAAAAGATATTCATTTTATATAGTTGAAAGCAAACATGCCAATGACAACTAGAATTTGTTTATAAGCTTTCCACCACTGGGAGAGTTTCCCAAGCAGAAGTTCACTCAGGATGGTCCAGGCAGTAGATGGGAAGTAAATGATATTTGTCAGTTTCTGTTCCTTCTGCACCTTTCTCTGCTCTCTTCCACACTTTTTCCTGGAAGTCCCTAATTTCACTTTTGAGCAGCTTTTCCTGTTGAAAAGTTCTTCCTAATGTTTAGTTAGAATTTCCTTTCTTGTAACCTAAATCAGTCAGTTTGGTCCTAAACAAAAGAATTGCGGGGAGGGGGGGGGAGCTTACTTCATCTTCCCATTGCTATCACCTCACTCTCATCTTGATCACTCCCCCTCTGACCACATTCCAGATTGTCAATATCCTTCTTAAACTGTGGTGCCTAGAACTCCAGATTAGATCTAAGCAATGAGATCTATATTTGTTGATCTAGATCTAATATTTATATTGATGCAGTCTAGAATGCCATTCGATGCTCTTTTTTTGTAACTGTGGTGCAGTGGGTTAAAGCACTGAGCTGCTGAACTTGCTGACCAAAAGGTTAGTGGTTCGAATCTGGGGAGCGAGATGAGCTCCTGTTGTTAAACCCAGCTTCTGCCAACCTAGCAGTTTGAAAACATGCAAATATGAGTAGATCAATAGGTACTGCTTCTGCAGGAAGGAAATGGCACTCCATGAACTCATGCCGGCCACATGACCTTGGAGGCATCTATGGACAATGTCAGCTAGAGATGGAGGTGAGCATCCCCCCCCCCCCCCCCGAGTTTGACTTAATGTCAAGGGGAAACCTTTACCTACACCTTTTAAAAACACAAATGGATTCATCTTTATCTTGTGGTATTCTCATACTCCTATATCATTTTCATATGTAATGTTGTACATCTAGTCACCCATCTAATTGAAATTGAAATGTTGAGACCTCTAATCCAACGCCCTGATGAGTCATGGCTTCCACATACAGAGGCATCCTCTCTCATTATTGCTTTGTGGGCTAGGGGGATTTCATGGATCCCAGGGACTCAATATGCCTACCTCTTCTTAGATTTTCAGTGTAATGAAACAAACACTGGTATCAGTGCATGCCATTCCTGGAATAGCTATAGATGCAAGCACAAGAAATTATATTTCTTAGGAAGAACTTCCTAATGGTGAGAGCTGTTCAGCAGTGGAACTCTCTGCCCCAGACTGTGGTGGAGGCTCCTTCATTTTGAGGCTTTTAAGCAGAGGTTGGATGGCCATCTGTCAGGGGTGCTTTGAATGTGATTTTCTTGCTTCTTGGTAGGGGGTTGGACTGGATGGCTTACAAGGTCTCTTCCAACTCTAGGATTCTATGATTTGCACACATACAGCTTTTGGCTGTATTGTAGGTTTTATATACAAAATACGCACCAGCAGTCAATTAGAAAACTTATTAGATCAATTTATCAAATATAATATCTCAGACTCACCTGGATCAAATTCATTCACATGGTTCAGCATGAATGTGAAGAAGTTGGACAGCTGAAAAAATCCATATCTTTTAGTTGGCAATTTGAAATCATTTTATTTTCTTGCTTATTCATCATTTGCAATGCCCTTTAAATGGTGCAATTGTAACTCTGGGCACAATTCCTGCTGAGAGTGCCCAAGATTTTCCTTGCATACAAAATCTGCCCTATGTAAGCTTTGAAGCACTTTCTTCCTAAAACAAAATGCTGAAAAGTAGCTGAATGCACAGGTGCTATTTCGTTAAGAAGTAAGGCAAACCATACTTAATAGCATCAAATAGTAAAATCAAATTTACTATCTAAATTTACTATGTAAAAAACTTTCAAATACAAAATGAAAACATTCTGAAGTCTCATCCCAAAAGGTGGGTGCAATGTAGAATAACTAAATATCACTTTTAAAGTTCTGAGAATAAAACCTGGACTGGATTAACTGCCTTACTGAAATGGAAGTCAAGATATCAACCCCCAAGACCTAGGTCAATTTATTCATGGGACACTGTGAGTATTGTATCCTAATAGCATCCCCTTCTATTATTAAAGTGGCAGATGACAAGAGTTTATTCCAGGAGAACCTTAAAGAAGCACTGACTCATCCAGTTATCTCTTCTGACCCTTTTCAATGCATGGGTGGGAAAGGGTAGCTGGACCCCAACACAGCCTTAGTGCTTTCCCCTCTAAATTGAATGACCCTCAACTTATTCACAGGTTAGCAATATCCTTATTTTTGGTTCCCAAATTTGTCCTTGATGTATACATGAGGCTTATTCATTTATTTATTGCATTTACGGTATATACCACTTTTCTCACCCCTGAGGGGACTCAAAGTGGTTTCTAACACAATCGTGGCAAAATCTAATGCCGTACATACATGTGAAAACCAAAACATAATTTCTAGACAATAACGTAGTATACTATAAATTAAGAACCTTAACCATATTACACATATTAGCATTAAACAACATATACATTAAAATCGCATCATCAAAACATAATTAAAATAGTTATTTAAAATCACACAATCCACGAGTATGTCAGGAGCCATTCCAATTGTCAAATGTAATTGTTCATTATTGTACTCAGATAAACAACAATAACAATTTTGATTAGCCAGTTGGCCTTATCAAAACAATGCAAACACAACATACAACATACATCTAGTCCTCTTAAAATACAAATATACAGATGTTTGTTAGCTTGAAACCAATGTAGCTTACACGTAGATATATACATGAACTATCTTCATCTCCCCTACAGATATCAATTGTTGCACTATCACTGTGAAAAGGCTTGGTCCCACAACCAGGATTTAACTTTCCTCTGAAGGACAAGAGGGAGGGGGCTGACCTAATTTCCCTGGGGAGAGTTCCACAGACAAGGGGCCACCACCAAAAAAGACCCTGTCTCTCATCTCCACCAGTCGCACCTGCAAAGTAGGTGGGATCGAGAGCAGGGCCTCCTCGGATGATTTTAATCTCCAAGATGGTTCATGGGAGAAGATACATTCAGACAGGTAAGCTTGGCCGGAACTGTTTAGGGCTCTGTAGGCTAAAGCCAGCACTTTGAATTGTGCTTGGTAGCAGACTGGCAGCCAGTGGAGCTGGTGCACCAAGGGAGTTGTGTGCTCCTTATGCTCTGCTCCAGTTAGAAACCTGGTTGCCACCCAATGGACTACTTGAAACTTTTGAACAGTCTTCAAAGGCAACCCTGCATAGAGCACATTGCTGTAGAGAACCTTAACCATATTACACATACATGAGTATACATGATAATATATGAAGAACATAATCTATAAACACAGTTTGTTGCAATTTACTGGTGGAATGTGACAAAGAAATGGCAGAGAATGCAAACCTGTAGCTGTGCTTGTTCTTCTGCATATTCAATTGACTGAAAGATGCTAAGAGCATATTGCCGCTTCAGCTCCATCCGGGCCACATAAGATCGATACCACCTTTGGATGAGGATGGCTGCTTTGATGACTGATAAAACACAAGGTGGCCAGAAATAAAATATTAATTATTCACAATTGATTCTGCAGATCCTTGGGTTCTGTTGGAGTTTATTGTGCAGTTTTCAAGATTAAACAAAGCTTGTATTTGTAGACAATCTCAGAAGTTAATCATGGATTGCCCACTAGGGCAATGTTGCATCTAAAGAGCCAAAGAACTTGTCTTACAGGGCACTATGTATGTAAATCAGCTGATGTGTGCTGTTTTCCCATGACTTTGAAAGAAAACATACAGCCACAGAGTCTGTATATTTGATTTTCTTGTGACCTTCAAGACTGTGCACATCACCCCGTTAAGGGAAAATTCACTCACAAACCTCTGAAAATTTGCTCTGTTTTTTTTTTAAAAAAAAAAAACCTATGAGATAATCTCTAGTGCTGTTTCTGACATTCAAAAGGCTACGTACACTTTTGAAAGCTTAGAGAACCCAAGGGTCAAATTGACTTAACTATACAGTGAATTTCTTTGATACCTTTAGAGACAGTACAGAATTCAAATATTTAAATACATTTTCTAAATAGTCGAAAGTGATCGAAGCAAGACTGAAATAGGTTAAAACCAAAGGTGATTCATCACACCTTCATAACTCTCTCGACACAACTTAAAAGTAGTTTTTGGTTCACAACAACGTGCCTGGAGGAAAGACATTTTGAATTCCCCAAACAAATAGTGCTTACAGACTGATTCAATGAGATAAAATGAGTTTAGTATTTACTAGGGAAAAAAATACACAGGATCTTCAGAGTGATTTCTCAGAAATCTTTATTTTTATTCATGTGTTTTGTTTTGAGACTTTGTTTGAAATGTATGCAACCATAATATTTTCACGAGTGCTTCTGATTTACTTTAGTGAATAGTCAGTAAACATGTCACAACAGGATTTGGAGTCAAACACTCAAAGACTGTGGAAGCTGTTAATGTGTGAACTGAAATAAGGTGTTGAACTGTATACACACCCCATGTTATTAAACAAGTAGTAACCTGTTTTTAAGATGATAATTCAGGAAGAGGGATATGCTCCTCTTGGAAAATTGCCCTTCCTTTCACTCTTGACTTCATTAATCCAGTTCTCACTGAAGTAGAAGTGCTGCTTTGACATTTTAAATATAATTAATTAAGACTCAAGAGACCTTGATCAATGAAGTCAGACCAATGGGAATAGTCAATATTTCCAGAATCTATTTGCTGTGACAGAACAACCAAAGGGGTTTTTCCGAAGAGGGATGGGGAAAATGCAATAGCAAACAGGCATTGTTGAACTTTAACAAGGTTAATCTAAATATTTGTAGTTGAGTTCTATGAAAATTGGGAGGGGGGGGGGTCTCAGATGTTTGATTGTTTGATGGTGGGAAGACTTGGAAGCTTTTAGCTGATTGGATCCAATGCTTGGATCAATTGCCCTGCTTCTTGCTACAGTTGCCAGTATACTTCCTGTACCTTCTACATAGCAGGTCTGCTCACCTCACCTTAAACCGACCCTCTAGTGTGGACAGAGAGGGCGTTTTTCAGCACATATATGTCCTGCAAACCTATTATGATCTTTCAGCATTTTCTGCACAAAATAGAAATGTAGCACCTTTTGAACACAAAAGGATCTTATAGCACCTTTAAGTGAGAGGAAAAAAGTGTAGCATAAGCTTTTTCCCCTGCCAAACTGGGATAGTTAAAATTGAAGGATGTGGTTTAGCTTCTCTAAAGGTGGAGCTGCAGTGCTTGCCTTGCCATCCAATGTGTCTATAAAGGTGGTAGAACTGAGAGAAATGTCTCCCTGAAGGTCTTAAAGTCTGGACTAGGAGAATATGATACTTCATGAGAGCCAGTAGTGTGATCTGAGCATTGAACTATGACTCTGGAGACTAGGGTTTGACTCCTTGCTTGTCCATGGTAACCCATTGGGTAACCTTGGGCAAATCACATTGGGCCTGAACGGAAGACAAAGGCATATCCCTCTGAAAAAATATTACCCAGAAAATCCAGGCCAATCAACAGTCTGGCCCTTTCTGCCTGCTCTTCAGAGGTAGCTCTGTGTAGATTGGGTTGCAGTAATCCAAATGGGATTTAAATATAATCTGTGCCAACATAGTCGACATTACTAGAAATGGGCACAGGTGAAGCACTAGCTTTAAATGGCCCAAAGACACCTGGCCATCACTACAGAAATCAAATCTTCTAAGCTCAGCACTGAATTCAGTACAACCTTGAATTGTGAACCTATATCTTCAGGGGAGGCGTAACCCCATCTAGCAGGGGATGCATCCCTATTTCCTGACCTGCTTTTCAACTGATCCAGAACATCTCTGTCTTGTTTGGATTAAGCTTATATTTGATGTCATCCAGATCATTGCTTCTTTCTTCCTAATCCATTTACATTATCTGGAACAGCTCATTGTGAAATTAGAATCTTCCAAGTTAAGGAATATTACAAAGAGGTTGTTTAGTTACAATAGCACAGAACAACAAGTTTTACCTCGTTCTGATTTGTTTGCCTGGTTCTTCTTTATAGAAATGCCACATCCCATGATTTCTGTAAAAACGTGGCATCTGAGTTAAATTTTCCTCATGAGTGATGATTTTCTTTCAGTCAGTGATGTTGCAACCCTCTCGATGTTCTTCTCAGAATACTACCATGAACCATTCTGGGGAGAATGGCTTATTTTCTTAGTCCTATTAAAAGAAAATACAGTATGACAAAATAGATTTAAATCATTTGCTACCAAGGTACAGGAGAAATAATGAACTGTGCAATATATACATTTGTGAAGGCAGTGAGGAGCACATTAAGAGTGTTCTGTTAATACCAGGTATGCACTTGTAACTACTGGTATCAATGTCGTCCCCACTTTTCTTTGCAAGATTGGAAATGGGGCAAGGGGGAGGTCATACAGGTACAGAAGAGAACATTTTTGTGAGCAGTGTATGCAGAGAAAACTGCTTTTTAATGACTCTGTGTTGTGCATAATAGACTGCTGAACACTAAACATGGATTTGGGGAATATTACCAATAAGAAAGCAGGACAGAGACTTAGAGATTAAAAAAGCAGCTGGATACTGGCCACTCTTCAATACTAAATGAGCATTTAGGTGCTCCACAAGCTCTTTTCAAACAAGCAACAAGACATTTTCATCATCAGGGGCAACTATTTTTCCTATTTTTCCATAGGAAAACCTGTTTTGCTTCTCTAATATCACTGAAATAGCAGCCAGTTGTGTTACGATGCACCTGTAGCTTTCATCTCAGGGCATGGGAGTGAACAGAAAAATTAGCAGATCGATTTTTTTTAGTTCTTGCAAATAAATGAACTTGAGGGCCATTCACACTATATGATTATAGTGCTATATTCCACTTGGACCACCACAATAACGTTCTATGAAATCCTGGTGAGTCTGTAGTCAGGTCTTCCCAGCTTATAATTTTAACTGTCCCTCCATCACTGAACTCCAAATCCCACAAAACTGAACCACAACAGTTAAAGTGGAATCACAATTGCATTGAGTGAATGATGTGAAACAAGGAGATGAATGGGATTCAACCCAACAGAAAGGGGCATTCTTGTATTCTATTTTTATCTTACTCCAAATACAGGGTCTAAAGCGGCCTATGCAATTCAAAACAAAGGTCTCCTAAAATCCTATTTTCCAAAAGTCAAAACACAATTGAATAGAGTAGCAATGCTATTTTTTAAAAGCACGTGGTTAAAACAGATTAAACACACCCGAAGGTTAATTACAAAGCTTGGTTTCTCAGGGAAACCCTTGTTCATTGGCAACCCAACACTTACCTTTGTGTTTAGGACTTTCAAAGAAGTGCTAACCAGGCTAACAGGAAGCCCCATGGAGAAGTTATGATAGAAATGGAGCATTCTGAAACCATCTGTCATAACAGATGGGTTGTCTTAATTGGGCACTCAATGCTACAGGAAAAGTATGGTCAGCAGTCCTAACCCTTACCAGAAATGTGTCTGGCCTTGACAAAATTTCCAAGAAACATACATTTGAACAATCCTCCTTCCTGTTCAAGTGAGAAAACCAAATCAAAACTATGACTTGATATATTAACAATGTTATTTTGAGATAATATGGTTACATCATGTGAGGCAAGAAGTCCTGAACTACTCCTGACAAGGCAGCATTGACAGGGGTGTTGAAATATCTCAGCCATATGATACTCAACACCAGTCCTGGGACTACCTCCATCAGCTCAGTATGACAGAATCTCAGAAGTTGCATTTATTTATTTATTTATTTATTACTTTAAAAATAAAAATAAAATTTTTTTACTTAAAAAAAATAATTCCCAATGGGAATTAAAACAAAATGCTAGAAGAAACAAAGACCACCAGCACTGAAGTGATGGTCCTCTGCCATTAACTCTGCTGGACCGGCCACGTCCGAATGCCTGATCACCGTCCCCCAAAGCAGTTGCTCTACTCTGAACTCAAGAACGGAAAACGGAATGTTGGAGACAGGAAAAGAGATTTAAAGATGGGCTCAAAGCCAACCTTTAAAACTCTGGCATAGATACCAAGAACTGGAAAGCCCTGGCCCTTGAGCGCTCCAGCTGGAGGTCAGTTGTCACCAGCAGTGCTGTAGAATTTGATGAGGCACAAATGGAGGACGAAAGAGAGAAACATGCCAAGAGGAAGGCATGTCAAGCCAACCCCAACTGGGACCGCCTTCCACCTGGAAACTGATGCCCTCACTGCAGGAGAACATGCGGGTCAAGAATAGGGCTCCACAGTCACCTACGTACCCACTGCCAGGACACCACTTTGGAGGACAATCTTACTCGGACAACGAGGGATCGCCCAAGTAAAGTGAAAACAATATATAGTATTGAACAAAAATGTATAACCATTAACACAGAGATAATAACATTAAAACATTTAGAAAGTTTTAGAATAGATAGAAAACATAAAATACAAACTTGGCACACTGCATTATACAGCACATCCTTCTGCTACACCCAGTTATAGACTAAAGAGCTATTTAAATAAAAAGGTATTCTTTACCTGCTTGGAAAAAGTGATCACAGAAGGAGCCAAGCTAGGCTAGTATTTTGCAGGAGAAAGTTCCACAATGTGAGAGCAGCCACTGACAGCTCTGTTCTGGGTCCTCATCGACTGTACCTGTGGAAATGGGGTCATGGTCAGATTTTGAGGTTGATTTCCCAGCTCAACCTGGGGAATGACAGCCTCAGGTCTCGCCTGAGGCTCCTCAAACTTAGAGACCAGAACAACTGGAACAATCAAATGAAGAGGTGTGGCCCCCAGGCCCTCAGTCTCAACATGGGTGGAAAAGAGAGCAGAATAAAGGCATTCAATAATGCTTCTTAGCATGCAAAAGAAGACGCACTATTAATCAAGGACAGACCAACTTAAATTGAAGAAATAGCGCTTGATCCCTGATTTTAAGTGTCACGTTCCCACAGTTCTGCTTCAGATACCTAAAACCCCGACCATTGGATTGGCTGACATCCTGTTTGGCTTTTGGACAAATTTGGACTAATTTTGAAAGGGTCATGATTTCCATGACCCTTTCACAAGCAAACTCTTTACTGTCTTGGCTTTATCTGGCAGTATCTGCAGAAATTTGGAATAAATTACATCCTTCTAAATTCTCTAAGGGCCCTTCCACACAGCCCTATATCCCAGAATATCAAGGCAAAAAATCCCACAATATCTGCTTTGAGCTGGGTTATCTGAGTCCACACTCAGATGATGTGGGATTTTTCTGCCTTGATATTCTGGGATATAGGGCTGTGTGCCAAAACCTAATCAGGACACATCATAAGACAAAGTGAAAGGGACAAAGGGAAAGCCTTCCTGCAAAAATTCAGTTCAATTCTAATAGATCCCTTCCTGTCCCAAACTGTTTGTGTGTGCGCGCGCATGTGCACCTATATGCACCTTCAATCTCCTCTTGACTTATGGCAATCTCAGGAGTTTCTCAGGATTTTCTTAGGCAAGGACTGTTCATAGGTGGTTTTGCCAGTTCCTTGTATTGACATTTAAAATCAAAGTACCTTAGCCACATGGTTTGGAACACCAGAAAGGGAATCTCTGAATATGATGAGGTCCTAGGTCTATACAGTCTAGTACTTTTTCTGCTTCCCCCATCCCACACTACCACTTCAGTTCTAGGCCATTACAGATTGGTATAGATTGGCATGAGAATTATAGTCTCTGAGTTCAAATCTTGTCTTTCTGACATCACAAGCCTGCTCTCGAGCTTCATCAAATGGCCTTTCCTAAAACATTGAATTCTACACTACAGCTGAAAAAGGATTCCTTTCATAGGTTGGTATACCAAACAGGCCAAGTCTAACGAAATGGATAATTATAATGATCACAGAGGTCTTGCAGTGCTCAGCTGTTTATCCATCTCAAGGATAAATGAGGTAGCTGACTACCAAAAACAACACTATTCCTGCTGTGACAAGAAAAATTATGTAATTACTTATGCAAAGATGCCCTGCACCCCAAGTATCTGTTGTCAAAGGACTCTTGGTTAACACATTAGAAATGCTGGAAGCGTATATGGCAGAAGTAGGGAGCCTTCCTTCTGCCAAGAGCCATTTCGATATGCATAACATCATTCACAGGCCATAACTTATGTATGTATTTAAAATAAATAATTACAAAAAATTATATATTGTTATATTACTAAAAGGTAAAGGTTTCCCCTTGACATTAAGTCATGTCTGTTTCTTCGGGGTGGTGCTCATCTCCAATTCTAAGTCGATGAGCTGGTGTTGTCTGTAGACACCTCCAAGGTCATGTGGCTGGCATAACTTATAAAATCATATATTAAAAATCAAATGAAGGTTCCAAAGGCCACATGGTATAGGCAGCTGCGGAAGAAGCAGAACATGCCTGTGTGAGGAGAGGAACCCAGAAGCAGCTCGGTCAGCAGCAACTGGCCCATAGAAGAGTTTGGGACGAGCAACAGGAGCTGGGTTGAATTGATGGGCTGGGACAGATGCCCTTCCCTACACCAGGGCAAGACCAAATGGTTTTGTAGGTCTTATATAGCTTGCGGCTGGGTGTTCCCCCGCCCCTGCATTATGCCCTACTGGGAAATTCATGCCAAAATTGCCACAGGCAAAAAGAGCCAAAATCGTAGGGCAAATGCCTGAGAGGCAGAGGCATAGTAGTTAGAACTCTAGTGTCCACTGGGATAGGGTAGGAGAGGGAACAAGGAGGGAAAGGCTTACTGCCTCCCACCTCCTGCACTGCTGCCAATTCAACAGTCCATCTTAATCTCTGTGCCAACCCTGCAACCACAACAGGAGGGCCAAAGTGGGGTGGGGTGGGGTGCGGGAGCCAGGGCGTTTAAAACCTCTAGCCCCACCATCCTCATGTGAACTTCCTCAGCAGGCACACATCAGGTAATTTAACCCTGGTCTCCATTCAATGAGGCCATCAAAGGTGGTCCCTCCCACACAGCAGTCATGGCTGCGTGCTCTTGGGTGTGAATTATTTTGCTTTGATTGCTGTTCTTGGATTTGGAACATATTCAATGTTCACAACCCCAACTTTTCTGTGTACTGTAATTTTCTTAGTCTTCATCTGAGATCCAGTTCCAAGTCAGTACTTGGGTGGGAAATCAAGGGCCAGACCAAATGATTTCGGGGGCCATATATGGCCACAGGCCAGACATTCCTCACCCCTGATATATGGGAACCTTTGACATTGGAAGGTCTTAAAGACATTGTCCACATTCCAGAAGAGGCTTAGAAGCATCTTTGCCCTTGCAATCAGTGGTTTAAGCATGCCAAACATTTGGTTAAACATTGACCTATATGTGTTTCTTGATATTGTTAAGTACACAACAGAACCCTCTGTGTATTCTTTTAGAATACAGGTCTTTTGTGAAAAGACCTGCTAAGAATATCTATTTGATTGATTCAGGTAGACCTGTGCAGCTGTCAGAAATGGGAATATTGGCCCAGCCTTAAAGGACGCTTCTACCCAGCCCTAAAAACCCCTCCGAAATGGGTTCTTGTCCCCATTCACCCACTGAAACCCCGGACTTTACCTGGGGGGGGGGGGTTTACATGAAATATAGATGGCATGAAGCAACCCTGAAGCCCCCCACCTACCCCTAAAATTTACTTAAAAGGTCCCTGGATGCCATAAATCCTTTTCTCGTATCCTTCTGGAGCAAGAAAATGATGCCTGAGGAGATGGGAGGGGAGAAGAGGAAACCCCCCACCCTCGTCTCTTTGCATGTCATTTTTCTTGCACCAGGAGGATGGGAGAAAAGGATTTATGGCAGCCAGGAATCTTTTAAAGTAAGTTTTAGAGGAAAATTGGGGGGGGGGGGGAGTAGGCACCATCCCATATATTTGGGCTCTATGAGCCTAAATGTTGCAGGATGGCAGTGGAGACAGACCCCTGGGGTCACAGAAAACGACCCTGGCAGTCAGTCCCCAAAGGCCCAATACCTTCGGTAACCCAGGCCTTTCAAGAAGGCATGGATCTAATGAGGTATTTAATTAATTCGGAACAAACCAAAGAAACCTTGATTTGTTCCAAATTAATTCATTTTTACAAGAAGCGTTGTTTGGATGCCTCTGGTAAAAACCGAGACAGGTCCCACATTTTGGGGCTGTCTGGGTGGACCCAAAGGCTGCTGGGATCCCTTAGTGTGTGCGGGACCATGGTACATTCCTATCATAGCACACTCCCTTAGCCTCCAGCCAATGCTATGTTTTTGAAAGAAGCTGCTTCAAAGAAGGAAAACTTGGCAAAAGTATAACTCTCTGTCGCAGACCATTCTGCCCTGGTTTCAAACAGGAAACTTATGTGTTGGTTAGAGACTGATAATGGTACTACAGGCTTCAAATACAGATCAAAATGATTTACAATTAATTAATATGTGTTAAATTGAAATGTCCTATCCTACGGTCCCCTTAGTACTAATGAAAAGTCTCAGGTGTAAGGGTCCTACAGCTAGGGCTCTGAAACATTATCTTTTAATCTCATTAATTCTTAGAGCAACCCTAAATTTTACCTGCTGTCAAGAAATTTTCAGGTTGCTCAGCAACCAAAGCCTTTTAATTTTGTTCCAGTGGCGTCTGAGATTTTGTGGATAAAGCTATAGCTTCAAATCAGCATTTCTTTAAAGGTCTCTTGTCTACTTCTTCCTTTCAGCATTGACTGATGAGGATGTTATGTAAAATCTGTTGTTTTGGGAGCCCCTGGTGGCGCAGTAAGTTAAATTGCTGAGCTGAACTTGCTGACCAAAAGATCGGCGGTTCAAATCCAGGGAGTGGAGTGAGGTTCTGCTTTAGATCCAGATTCTGCCAACCTAGTAGTTTGAAAACATGCAAATGTGAGTAGATCAATAGGTAGCACTCTGGTGGGAAGATAATAGTGCCCCATGCAGTCATGCTGGCATTATGACCTTGGAGGTATGTATGGACAATGCCGGCTCTTTGACTTAAAAATTGAGATGAGCACCACCCCCAAGAGTTGAACATGACTAGACTTAATGTCAGGGGAAACCTTTACCTTTTTACTGTTGTTTTGAGGTAGGTATTTTATTTCATAGTACTTTAATACTGAAACTAGCTGTCCCCTGCCACGCGTTGCTGTGGCCCAGTCTGTTGATCTGGAAAATAAAGTAATGAGAAAGTGTTGGTTTCTAACATATGTGATTTCTTTATGCTTGTGGATAAACAGTTTTACTTGCTGTTTCTTTGTCAGTGTTGATGTAGAGAGTATCTGGTTTGCCCACCCTGGAATATGCAACATATCATAGTCCTTCTTTAAGGGTCCCTTTCAAATCTATGATACTATATCTCTCTCTGTGTGAATTATATCTATCTATCTATCTATCTATCTCTATCTATCTATCTATCTATCTATCTATCTATCTATCTATCTATCTATGGCTGGATGGCTCTTTGTCAGGAGGACATTGATTACGTTTTCTTGCCCTGATGAAGGGAGTTGGATTGAATGGCCTTAAGTATTTTCTGTTGGTCATGGGGGTTCTGTGTGGGAAGTTTGCCCCGATTCTGTCATTGGTGGGGTTCAGAATGCTCTTTGATTGTAGGTGAACTGTTAATCCCAGTGACTACAACTGCCAAATGTCAAGGTCTATTTCCCTCAAACCCCATCTGTGTTCATATTTGGGCATATTGAATGCTTGTGCCAAGTTTGGTCCAGATCCATCATTGAGTCCACAGTGCTCTCTGGATATAGGTGAACTACAACTTCCAAACTCAAGGTCAATGCCTACCAAACCCTTCCAATACTTTCTGTTGGTCATGGGAGTTCTGTGTGCCAAGTCAATTCCATTGTTGATGAAGTTCAGAATGCTCTTTGATTGTAGGTGAACTATAAATCCCAGCAACTACAACTCCCAAATGACAAAATCATAATTTTTTGAGTGATGGTCACTTCTTGTGTTGTGAGATGTTTTGTTGCCAAATTTGGTGTGATTTCGTTCATTGGTTCTTTTGTTTTTAAGGTACTCATTATGCACAGAGCATTTTTATATATAGATTAGCTATACTACTTTCAGAGACTATATGAAATTAAGTAGCTTTGTGATGTATTCATGTATGTAGATATTCAAGATACAACCCAAACAACAACAAAAAAGTAGATTTGCTATAAACAAGGAATGTAAACAATTGCCCTTAAAGCTGTGCCCTCAAAACAGTTCCAAATTGGCATCCTACATTCAAATGAAAACCCACTGATTTTTATGCTGTCACATGAGGGAGTAACTAAAAAACAAGAGGTACCTGTATTTGCTTTATGTAAATAAGGGTATTTGAAAATTATGCAAGCAATAAGATCTAGGTTGTCTCCCTTTGAGTCAAAATTTACAAGGACACAGAGCTTTAGCCATGCTGTTGTGAGGATGAACAATGAAGGGAAGGCAAATGGTATAAAAGTTTGGCTCTGTGTGGCACAGGATGATGGGCTCTGATTGTTCAGAAACCCAGTTTAAAACAATTTCACTTCATATTGAAGCCAAGTTGGGAGAACATTCACATTTGAGTTGAGGAAATAATAGAATCAGCATTCATGGGTTAAGACCAGGGCACAAGCAGAGTTGGCATTTCTAAAAACTGGATGAATGTTTATATCTATCTATCTATCTATCTATCTATCTATCTATCTATCTATCTATCTATCTATCTATCTATCTATATCTATCTCCACTAAAAAGATGGGAGAAAAAAGCAGGGCAGGGAAGAAAAATATATAGGATATAGAAATAGGTCACAAATATACATAATATAACCTGACCTGCATGGATTAGGACTGTGGGAGAAACAAAATCAAAATCCCTGTTCGATTGTAGAAAGCTACTAGATGGCCTTGGGCAAATAATACTCTCTCATGATGTAAACAATGACAAGCCTCCTCTGAATAAACTCTAGAGAGGTGCCATCCTAAGTCAGGGTCACATTTATTCTTGGCTAAACCAATTTGACTATTGCAGGATGATATATTTGTCTTTTTAGTCTTGGAGCAGGAGTTTTTCACAACATCAAGAGCATACAGAATCCAAGCACAGATAATGTCTGAATCACAGGACTATCATTTAAAAAGTACATGCATATCTATAAATATAATACCAAATTAGTATTTTGCAGAAAACCCAGGAAGAAAAGAGTGACCACTATACAGCACACATCATATACCATTACATCTATCATTAATTAATAACAAAACATTATAAAATTGGTTTTCTTTTCCTTAATTTAAAACTTAATCTGGGGAAACTGGCAGAGCAAATGGTTTGCAAAAATCTAGGAAGAAAATGAATACTTTGATGGAGAATTAATGGCCAGAGTAAGGGAATCTGAGAGGCAAATGAACCCATAAAGCAAGAACATATGTTTAAAAATGCAATTCTATACCCATTTGCATGGGAGGAAACCCAAATGAATTTAATGGGATTTACTCTTCAGTAGACTTGATTATGTAGTGCTAATAGCACACGTGAAAAAAAAGTGTTACTTTTCTTTTTATTGTATAGGACTAAAATAATTAGTATGGTTTCACTAAGCAACATCTGTGTGATAAAATATACTCTACTCATTTTTCAGGAACAGTCAATCAGATGTTTCTAATCATGGCCTTATTTATGACCTCATCACATGATTAATTTTCAGTGTCGTAGGACGCTTTTTCCCCAGTTAAACCACAGAGCTCCGTGCCGCCTATCAGATGATGCAGGCTCACTTCTGGTGGGGCACCATGGTTCAACTGGGGCACAAGTGTCCTAGGACACTTGGCTCCGAACACAGGAGGCCTTCTGTATTCCATTGGGAATCAGAGGGCCAGTACGGCAGGAAACCGTGCGGTGATGCGTCCCCACGTGTGATGGGGAAGTGTCGCTGCAGAGTGAGGCAGAGTGCAGGGTGCTGGGATTGTCCCACCGATTTGCCACAGAGGCTAATGATTTGATCCGGGAGACCTCATCATTGTGATGAGGTCCTTAGTTTACTATCTGGAATTCAAAGATCAACAGCTTCTAAACGTGCATCTGTTCGTTAGGAAGGCCTTCCATAGACAGAGAAAAGTTGAAGGGTGTGTAAACAACCAGGCCAAGGTACACTTAGGAATGGCACCAGAGAGTCAATCATATTTGCTTGGAACAATCAATGTCTTTGCCTGGACCCATTTAGAATATCATTGGCCATATGCTCTTTGAACTGTACTAAAGAAAAGTTATACAGTATGAAGTTACAGTTTATTACCACTCAACAATCAACAATCAAAAGGCCTTCCATTTCCCCAGATATTTTGGGGTGTCAGTTTTGCGGGTGAACTGCCCAGTGATCAATATTGCCAATGACCAGAGTTTGTGAGAAGTGCTCTACAACAACATTTAGGGGAGGTTAAGGTCCATATCAACTACCACATCCTAGTTGATGTATGTGATGACATGTAGTGCAGAAAAAATGTGACCCTCCAGAAAGTCTGAAGCTCACTAATTCAGCTTTTGGGAATGGACAGCAACTTTCTGTATGGAGGGGCTAGAACTAGGAAAGCAAAGCAAAATAAAATGAAAACAAAAAGAAACAAAAGCTGTGTGAACACCAATAGATATGATTTGGGATTCACTATCAATCTTGTCTTGAAAGAAGATGGGGAGGAAAAGACAAACATGGATTTTACTAACAAGTTATTGAGTTGTTCAGGTGATATGACTTTTTTCTATTTAAGACTCCTACGATTAATATTTTTCTTGTTTTGTTTTGAAAAGAGGATGTATCCCAGAAAGTATAACATAAAGCAAGAGCAACCAAGAGTATTTTATAAAATAGGCGAATGAAGCTAGCACCACACCCAATGCCTTTTGTCAAATGGATGCTAGCGTAAGAATCAGGGCCCTTCCACACAGCCCTATATACCAGAATATCAAGGCAGAAAATCCCACAATATCTGCTTTGAACTGGGTTATCTGAGTCCACATTCAGATAATGTGCGATTTTCTGCCTTGATATTCTGGGATATAGGACTATGTGGAAGGGCCCTAAGACAAGAAACAAGAGCAATCGAGAGGTTTTACAAAATAAAATATGTGAATGGATCTAGCACCACACCCAATGCCTTTTATCAAATTTTGGATGCAAAAGTAAGAATCAGACATTTTGGGATTTTAGATTTGAAAAAAGGAAACAATAATTTTATATTGCTAGGCCATAGCAAGTGGGTGATCAGATGGAAAAGAAAAGACAGCTTTTGCATTTTTACATTGTTCAAAACAGGAAAAAACTTCTGACACATGCAAACCTTTTTTTACTTCCTCGGCATCGACTGTGCCATGACAGGCTGTCTCTGTACATTTTCTGTACGATTATGGCAGGCACATTGACTTCTATTATCTGCTCATTTATGGGCCTTTAAAAGTAGGACAAACATGTGAACAACTGCACACACGCACACACACACACACAATCCATTTCTCTTCAAAATAAAATAGAAGTGCACCAAACTCTAGTAAGGATAGTCAGAGCAAGGTTCTATATTTGAAGATCCTTTGAAACATAGTAGAGATAAATCCAGGATTTATGTTGACTCACACTATATATCACAAATCTATGTTTACTAGAAATAAATAGCATTTGATGCAACAATATTTAATCTTAAAGTGTTTGGAATCACAGCCTTTGTTATAGCATGCACTGTTTCTCACAACTGATAATGATTTATTTCTAACAACTAAATATATATATATATATCTTTAAAAATAAAAAGCACACACAGAGACAGACATTACCTGCCTTCTTCCACTGTATCAGCAATGAGGTTTGCTGTAAGTGCTGTAAACAAGCCTTCTTCCCAAACTGAGTGTACAGAACATGGCATGGAATCAATAGACACTCCAGCTGCCTCCACAGTGGGTCATCTTTGTCCCTACCTTAAATTTAGATGTATTTCCCAGGAACCCCACCTGAGCACCGAATGGATTCAAGAAACGGCTCCTTTCTCTCTTCCAGCCTGAAACTAGAGCTCTGTCTAAATGCAACAGCAATGCTGGCAGAGAGGCATGGTGATATATTGGACATTGGACAGCACTCCCTGGATCTCAGGCAGATAAATGGATAATTGAAGTTATCTGCTTTTTATGAGAAGCTCTGTGGTCTCTTTGCCTCAGCAAACCCCATTGTTGAAATGATTAATGGCTGGCCACAAACTGATATTACAATAGATTACATCAGCTAAAATGTGGAGTGAGGTATGGGAAGAGATACTAAAAGCAGCCAAAGGGAATAAAACATACACAAAGAACATGGAATTTCCAATTCGTTGGCTTTGTAGCAAAAACAACAGGATTCAGTGGCACCCTAAAGGTGAACACATTGATTGTAGCATAAATCTCTATTTTGTGCTGCACATAGATATATTTCATATATACAAACACAAGAAGTAAGCAATTAATTCAGAGGGAAATGAAATATAAAATAATAGCAATTACAAATCACAATCCTTAATATTTTAGAATTATTTTAATTCCTGGATACCTTGTAAATGTAAAGGTAAAGGTTTCCCCTGACTAAGTCTAGTCATGTCCAACTCTGAGGGGTGGTGCTCATCTGCATTTCTAAGCCAAAGAGCCGGTGTTGACCGTAGACACCTCCAAGGTCATGTGGCCAGCATGACTATATGGAGAACAGTTACCTTCCAGTTACCTTATGATCTCACATTTTTGAACTGCTAGGTTGGCAGAAACTGGGCCTAACAGCAGGAGCCCACCCCACTCCCTGGATTTGAACCACCAACCTTTTGGTCAGCAAGTTCAGTGGCTCAGTGGTTTAACCCGCTGCACCACTAGACCTTGTACTAGGAATGAACAACCTTCAATAGAGGAGCCTCAACCAGCTGCTTGATTGTGTCCTTCTATTGAGTTTCTAAGGGAGATTTCGTTTTCTAGCTATGGGAAGCAAGGTGAATAAATCAAAGTCTTTGCTTTGATTTATTCCGATTTATTAGATAGTACAATGCCACTATGTCCTAAAGACTTAAGCTTAAAAAACAGGCAAAGCTGTAGTGTCAGATAATCCACTGGTGTAGAAAAGTGCAGCTCTGAAACTATGTGGCCCCCAACTTTTCAAAATGTTTCAGAAGTGTATTTTTTTTCTTTTTGCACATTTTTCCTGTATTTCTTGGAGGACTGCACAGCTGAAAACTGGCCTTGGATGCCCAGCAATAGCCCACCTCTGATACAGGTTTTAAACAATGGCTATATTTGAACAAAGTGTAGAGCCTAACACAGCAAGTTTTTCCTGGATCAAATGCCCAGCCTTCTGTTTGAGCTAATCTGTACTTTGTTCCTCTGCTTTTGTGCGGAACTGACTACAAATAATGGGAACAAGAAAAGGTGAAGACTAGCTCAGGTTGCCGGCACAGGGGATCATGACAGCTTGCAACCTGAGGAAACCGAATTTAGTTTCCAGGTTCACCTTGTTGCTTGAAAGGTAAATGGCACATTGGAACTAACACATCAGGACAGTAAAGGAAATCCATACAATGGATTGGTGTCAATGTCTCTTGGTCATAAGGCTTTCCAAATGCCTTTGGTTTATTAAAGTGACACATCTGGTCTTTCTCATTCCTGTCTGAATTACTTCAGCCCCCCCAAAATGCAGTAAATGGCTTTGCTATGGGACACTCCAATGTTACAGTATGGATTTCCCGCTCAATATATTTCACTGTGGCCCCATCTACATTGACCATTTGATTCAGTTTCAAACTGGTATTGAAGAAAGTGGTTTTTTTGTGGAGACAATTACATTGAAAATCCTGGAACCAGTTTGAGACGAGGATTGAAAAAACTACAGAGCCCCTGGTGGCACAGTGGGTTAAACTGCTGAGCTGCTGAACTTGCTGACCGAAAGGTCGGCAGTTCAAATCCAGGGAGCGGGGTGAGCTCCCACTGTTAGTCCCAGCTTCTTGCCAACCTAGCAGTTCAAAAATATGCAAATGTGAGTAGATCAATAGGTACCTCTCTGGCGGGAAGGTAATGGCGCTCCATGCAGTCATGCTGGCCACATGACCTAGGAGGTGTCTACAGACAACGCCATCTCTTAGAAATGGAGATGAGCACTACCCCTCAGAGTCAGACACGACTAGACTTAATATCAGGGGGAAACCTTTACTTTTACCTTTTTACAGAGCCTTGATGCATATTAAGGTTTTCTTTGTGGGAATTTGTTGTCTAGCCTGCTGCAGTATGAATAACAATAACAATAATAATAATAATAATAATAATAATAATAATACTTTATTTATACCCCGCTACCATTTCCCCATGGGACTCGGTGCGGCTTACATGAGGCCGAGCCTGCAGTACATCAATACAAGCAATAATAGACACAATACAAGTTCATTTCTTATGTCAATAGAAAAAGGAAAAACAAGGAGGCGATAGGGCCTCTTCGAGGAGAAGATGGGGCAATGCTGACAGGGGATAGGGAAAAGGCAGAACTACTTAATGCCTTCTTTGCCTCGGTCTTCTCACAAAAAGAGTCTTCAACCTCAGCAAGATGGAGTGGATGAGGGATTGGAGGACATCCAACCCCAAATTGGGAAAGAAGTCGTCCAGGAATACCTGGCCGCTCTTAATGAGTTCAAGTCCCCAGGGTCAGATCAACTACACCCCAGAGTATTGAAGGAACTAGCGGAAGTCATTTCGGAACCATTGGCAACCATCTTTGAGAGTTCTTGGAGAACGGGAGAAGTTCCAGCAGATTGGAGGAGGGCCAATGTGTTCCCAATCTTCAAGAAGGGAAAAAAGGATGACCCAAACAACTACCGTCCGGTCAGCCTCACGTCGATACCGGGCAAGATTCTGGAAAAGATTGTTAAGGAAGCGGTCTGCAAACACTTAGAAACAAATGCAGTCATCGCTAATAGTCAACATGGATTTATCAAAAACAAGTCATGCCAGACTAATATGATCTCTTTCTTCGATAGAGCTACAAGCTGGGTAGATGCGGGGAATGCCGTGGATGTAGCGTACCTGGATTTCAGTAAGGCCTTCGACAAGGTCCCCCATGACCTTCTGGCAAGGAAACTAGTCCAATGTGGGCTAGGCAAAACTACGGTGAGGTGGATCTGTAATTGGTTAAGTGGATGAACACAGAGAGTGCTCACTAATGCTTCCTCTTCATCTTGGAAAGAAGTGACGAGTGGAGTGCCGCAGGGTTCCGTCCTGGGCCCGGTCCTGTTCAACATCTTTATTAATGACTTAGATGAAGGGCTAGAAGGCATGATCATCAAGTTTGCAGACGACACCAAATTGGGAGGGATAGCCAATACTCCAGAGGACAGGAGCAGAATTCAAAATGATCTTGACAGATTAGAGAGATGGGCCAAAACTAACAAAATGAAGTTCAACAGTGACAAATGCAAGATACTCCACTTTGGCAGAAAAAATGAAATGCAAAGATACAGAATGGGGGACGCCTGGCTCGAGAGCAGTACGTGTGAAAAAGATCTTGGAGTCCTCGTGGACAACAAGTTAAACATGAGCCAACAATGTGATGTGGCAGCAAAAAAGCCAATGGGATTTTGGCCTGCATCAATAGGAGCATAGTGTCTAGATCTAAGGAAGTAATGCTACCCCTCTATTCCGCCTTGGTTAGACCACACCTGGAATATTGTGTCCAATTCTGGGCACCACAATTCAAGAGAGATATTGACAAGCTGGAATGTGTCCAGAGGAGGGCGACTAAAATGATCAAGGGTCTGGAGAACAAGCCCTATGAGGAGCGGCTTAGGGAACTGGGCATGTTTAGCCTGAAGAAGAAAAGGCTGAGAGGAGATATGATAGCCATGTATAAATATGTGAGAGGAAGCCACAGGGAGGAGGGAGCAAGCTTGTTTTCTGCTTCCTTGGAGACTAGGACGCGGAACAATGGCTTCAAACTACAAGAAAGGAGATTCCATCTAAACATTAGGAAGAACTTCCTGACTGTGAGAACTGTTCAGCAGTGGAACTCTCTGCCCCGGAGTGTGGTGGAGGCTCCTTCTTTGGAAGCTTTTAAACAGAGGCTGGATGGCCATCTGTCAGGGGTGATTTGAATGCAATATTCCTGCTTCTTGGCAGGGGGTTGGACTGGATGGCCCATGAGGTCTCTTCCAACTATTTGATTCTATGATTCTATGATTCAGTGCACATTTTAAATCTACGGCTGGGCCAAATGTAATTGAATTTTAAAAACTAATGCTATGCATGAACAAGGTAATGGAGATGGGGCGTTAATGGAGACATACAAGCAGTCCTAAATTGGTATAAATTGGTATAAATTTATGCTTTGGAGGACATAATGCTAAGGGTTCATTATTCTGGGAAGGCACACTGGAACAACCACGTTATGAAGCTAGTTTTGAACTGCATTAAATGGTCAGTGTAGATGGGGCCTATGGGAATCAGGTGTGTGAGACCATATGTTCATGGGCATTTCCTTCTTTCCCTCTTTTGATTTCTAATGGTCATGCAGATGTGACCTCTTCCACTGCTGTGTTTAGCAGTGATGTGTATAAACATTTTAACACCCATACTCCTTTGCATGGTTCTAGACATAATTCTTTGTGTTGCCTTATTGACATGGAGAGGTTATATTTTCACCTCCTTTATAACATCTATGCTCAAATTGACTTAAAAGCAAACAACAATGCTCAGAGGAGATACAAATGCATTGACCAGCTCTCCACGTGAGCAGAGGCGGCCCTAGGTAATTTTCAATGGTAAGCAAACAGTATTTTGGCACCTCCCCCCAACCAATCACTGATATATTGTTTGTCGTGGGAGTTCTGTGTGCCATATTTGGTTCAATTCCATCATTGGTGGAGTTCAGAATGCTCTTTGATTGTAAATGAACTATACATCCCAGTAACTACAACTCGCATATGTCAAGGTCTATTTTCCCCCAAGAGCGCCTCAAGAGCGCCCTTGGGCAAAATCAACTATACTGCAAATGCTTACTTTGCGTAATGGGTTGAGCCGCCCCTGCACGTGAGTTTGTTTCCAACAATATGAGAGTTACCTTGTCCAGTTGCCCTGCTGCATAACATATTTCTTCTATACTTGTCATAGTTTTACCCCTATTGTTTATCATGTTGACACATCGCCTTACTATATAAGCCTTTTTGCCTGGGACTCTTC